AAGTTTTGCGACATAATTCTCAACACAATTATATGTGGTTTAATCTACAGCTTGAAACACTTAGTAAGGACTTGGTTCATTACAGCACCGAAAACTATTAGTTTTCAACAATATCAAGGTTGGTCTATCTCAATACATCGCTATTATGGATTTGATCCACTTCAGCTTTGAACCCTCGAATTCTAAATAAGGAGCTCGTGAAATGAAAAATCCTCAATGATTAACATTGATTCGCAAATTCGCAAGTGTTTAATGACTTAGTAACGGCTGTATGAACTGGTCAAGAAAATGAACGAACTCTAGTGAAACTAGACTCCAGACAATGCACTAGACCTCGCACTAGACTACAGGACGATATATGAAATTGTGTGAAACTGATTTGAAATTGATATAATTTATTTGTATTTATTTCAATATCCATAAAAAAATCAGTTTAAAATATGTTTTAGGATGCAATTCAACTATATGAGAGAACCCCATTCGAATGTTGTAAATTATGCAATACAAAGTTAATTTAATTGACCAGTTTAGTTTATAGGTTCAATACCCAAGTGTCTGATACTAAATTTCCTTACGGTGAACAGAAAAAACTTGATAATTCGGAAGCATATGGCAGAAGCTATTGATTTTACCAACATAAAAAAATAATCAGCTTCAAATATTGAAAATTAAAGTTATAAAAGGGTTCCTACTAAACCAAATAAAAATTTGACGAATTTTTCTGCAATTGATTGTAAAATAATATCAACTCCAAATTATGTTCAAAAATAGCAACTGAAAAATCGATTAAAAGAATCTTGTCTGTCAATAGATAAAACAGGGTTTTCTTTGGCATAGAATCTATGTAGGATGTTTTCGATCGAAGGTGAGGCATTTTCTTTCAACATGATGTAGAACTCAAATTAAATAACCTCACAAAAAATATATAAGGTGTATAATAATGTAGTAAACAAGGTATATTAATGTCTGTTAATTGAAAAAAACAAAAATCGCCCTTATCGACGATATTTTCAGCAAGCCAGTAACCTCTCCTTGGAACTAAGTTGACCGTGGGCCCACCATGTAACCACGGGGGTAGCCTCTGGTGACTCCAGGCTCCTAGTTAAAAGCCTGAGGTCCCCACTCTCATCATGGTCCCGGTGGGAAAGGCTGCGAACGGTCACTCATCTGAACTGAAAGATTCCGATCGACATGGGTACCTAGGCTTGCTCAGCGAAAACTGGGACTTTGGCGTACCTTGTGCCTTAGTTCGTCAGGGAGTGGGTGGCCCCAAGCGATTCTACCGCCAGTCATCGTAGGCAAAGCCGGGTCCACTCCTGTTAACGAGGAAGAGGAACGTGCAGAAGTCCTCGGACGATTACCCATTCAACGGGACGAGAGGATTCTCGTCAACATGAGTAGCAATCAGGCAAAAGCCTCTTACGACGGCGACCCATCAAACGTAACAAGAGGAATCTTGTTGACATGGGTACCTGAGGTGATGAGGATAGCCCCATGCGGCCTGGTGCCTCACCAATTGGGTTGGACTCCAGGGGGCAGCGGTTTCCAAAAACACCACCGGACTACGGTAGACGAGGTAAAGGAGAATCCTACTATGGGTCAAGTGGGTGGATATCTTGCCTGCCTCGGCGGATGAGCAGCGTTTCTACTCGGGCACTGACACTGCAGAGCCAGTAGTCTGTTTATCATACGGCCTCACCATTGGTATAATGAAATGGTAGCAGGAGAACATGCCGTTGTATAACGGAGACAGCTCTAGGGAGCTGATTTGGCGTTTCCAAATCTTCCATTTCACCCTGAGGTGCTGTCGGTATAAGTCGAGCGGTAGGTGGCCGGCTGTCATCCCTAGGGGAGTCTTGTGAAGGAGGAGTGGAAAATGGTCCCACCCGGCAATATTATTGATTATTATTATTGAAACTGATTCTTATCAGACGGTCTCACCATTGGTATAATAAAATGGAAGCAGGAGAACATGCCGTTGCGCAACGGAGATGGCTCTAGCGCACTGATTTGGCGTATCCAAATCCTCCATTTCTTCCTGGGGTGCTGTCGGTATAAGTCGAAAGATAGGTGACCAGAAGACATCCCTATGGGAGTCTTGTGAGAGGGGGTGGAAATTGGTCCCACCCGTTTGCTACGACGGCAATACTGATTATTATTTTGTTTAGGAGGTAGAGCAACATGCGAAAGTCCTCGAACGATTACTAATTAAACGGGACGAGAGGATTCTTGTCGAACAAGGGCAGCAATTATGCCAAAGACTTTTGCGACGGCAACCCATCAAACGAAACAAGACATGTTGACATGGGTACTGGGGTGATGAGGATCGCTCCATCAGCATGCATTGGGTTGGACTCCAGGCGGCAGAGGTATCCAAAAAAACATGACCGAACTACGGTTGAGGAGGTGAAGAAGAATCCCACTATGGGTCAAGTGGGAGGATATCTTGCCTGCCTCGGCGGGTGAGCAGCGTTTCTGCTCGGGCATTGACACAGCAGAACCAGTAGTCTGTTGTATCATACGGCCTCACCATTGGTATAATGAAATGGTAGCAGGAGAACATGCCGTTGTATAACGGAGACAGCTCTAGGGAGCTGATTTGGCGTTTCCAAATCTTCCATTTCACCCTGAGCTGCTATCGGTATAAGTCGAGCGGTAGGTGGCCGGCTGTCATCCCTAGGGGATTCTTCTGAAGGAGGAGTGGAAAATGGTCCCACCCGGCAATATTATTGATTATTATTATTGAAACTGATTCATTTGTAATCGAAACCCTAAAAATTGTTCGTATTCCTGACAAGATTGTTATTTGGATTTGAGTAGGAGCCGAAAATTCGTCAGTGCTTGTATGGAACATTACTGTTTGCACTTTATTGAAACGATGACATGCCAAGTCAAGAATAGGAAAGTAGGAACTGCTTATTTACCTTCATATTTTTGGTAACTTCACCATATTTTTTAAATCACACCTACATAGGTAGTTTTACAACTGAAGAAAGAAACATTATAAGTGATAAGTAGAAACAAAACGATGTTTCACACGTATGTGATCCAGTGGAAGGAATCATAATAAGGAAATGTAATATCAAAAAATATAGCAGAAGAGTGGTTGACGCTATCAACAAAATTAAAAAAATTACTCTACAACTGGAATGAAATCATGCGTAGAAGCAGAAAGGTTAGACTCAATTTGATTCTTGAACATGAACATTCTGCTTCTTACATAAAATAATTTTCTAGGCAGGTATAGTCTTTGGAAAGAGCAATTACGCAACTATTGTTGTAACTAGGGCTGTACTACATGATCGATTGTGTCGGAAACTTTTGTAGACGCGATTCTTTGTGAGATGGTTTATTTTGATGATATTTACATCCTGTTAAAAATGATGCCTTACCTTCGAGAACAGCCTATATTTATACATATATTGCTTATTGACAACCTTCTGTAATTATGGTTTTCCAGTTTTGTCAAGTTTTGTTTTGACGTTTTTGTATAGAATAGAGTACGGACACTCGCGAAGCAGTGACAGCCAGACCTAACCACAAATGATTTTGAAGCGGATAATATGATTTTACAGACAAGGACATGAATTTGTTTTTTGCTTAAATGAAGCTTTCTCGTATCTCCTGTTATCTACATGTTTAATTTGTTTATTCATGTTTGTCGCTTAAATGAAGCTTTCTCGTATCTCCTGTAATCTACATGTTTAATTTGTTTATTCATTTATTTATTCCAGTTATTGCGTTACATTTTTTTCTCCATTTATACATTTTATACAAATAATATACAGTGTGTCCCACTTACCATGCTCACCATGGGTATGTTTTTAACGGTGAGAGATACGAGGTCGGTTAAATGACACCAAATGTGGAGTTTGTCAAGGCCAACTATAATGTGAAAAAATATTTTGATGAAATCTATTCGTTTTTGTTTTATACGCAAAAAACAGGTTTTGATCATTTTCATATCTCCTCCGTAACTTCTTTATTTATGAAAATATTCAAATAGGAATTTCACATTCTCATGGCAGTTTTTCAGAGAGATTTCGAAAAAAATATGAAATTTATACCAACTCTTCTAGAATTTGAGATATCAGCACCAACTTTAGTTTTTCAAATGTAGGTCATAGCTCACTATGACTTAGTTACAAATAACTTTTTTTTCTCTTACCGATGATATGTCGCAGTAATAGTTTTGTGTTGATAACAACGGAGTTATCGTCATTTATACAAAAACTAAAAATTATTTGGAAGCCGCCATCTTGAATTTATAAATTTTAACAAAAAAATCGTGATCTCCGACCTCAAAAACCCCCACTTACCAATTTTGAATGGAATCGGACCAAATCTTGTCCGCCATCTTGGAGCAGCCATTTTTTTAAATTGATGGCGGTTTTTCCAAACTTTTTGCCATTGAATTTTGAATTTTGAGATATATCATGCTCATAAATAGCAACATCTACCACTATTTCTCAATTTGTCATTCAAATATTTCATTTGTCTTTCCGAAGATAATAGTTTTTCATAAGAATTTTGTTCATATCAAAACTGCACTTTGTTGATTATGTTCAAAATATGGAATAACTTTTAGGTGATAGTTGTGAATTTTGCTAACTCAGATTTTTGTTATCTAAATCTTTCATTTCCTAACTCTATTTTTTCTTTTATTGGCTTCTTCACTCTCACTTACTAGTAGAACTTGAATATTTAAATATTCCTGCTCTGAATTTCTGATTATCAAGCCTTTTTCATTTAAGAATGTATTGAAATGAATTTCATTTCTAACAAGGATCTGTTATGTCTGACTCTCAGTGCTTTTAGACTTGTCAGTGTCCGTACTCTAAATATACAAAGATGTTAAACCAAAATTTAAAATAAATCCATTGAGGAACTCTATTGCCAATGACAAGAAAGAATATATTTTTGTCACAAAAATTATAGATATTCAATATTTTAAAATCAATCAACGGTTCCGAAAAAATACTTATGGGCATACATCTTACCGTGTGAATGAATCCTCATACAGGACGATGTAATATCAGTGGTAACTGTGAAATAAGGCAACCAGAGATCTTCTATGTAAGTGTCTCCGAAAGTGCTGTGAATTGACTGGTTGAATTCACGACCGCTAAACATAGAGGTCATTGGATAAGTCAAATCTAATATTTGACGCCACCATTGGGTCATTTTCTGAAATGAAAAACAATGGTGAAATAAATCCAAGACTCATAAATCGAACTTTACAAGAAAAAATGATAAGTAAAACAAGAATATATGTTTCCAGATGTAGTTAATGCCAAAGGTGAAGCTATGAATTTTCAAATTTACGGCTTTATCTACTGAGAGATAGATGAGAGATATTTTTTTGGTATATTCATTTTTGATTGACGTTAAGCTATATTAGAGTCACTGGATGGTATTAGTTTGGACACAGAAATGACAACGGTTAGGAGTTTTGAATGTATGGATTTATTAGCCGTCCCGCGCTTTTTCATTCAAAAGTGTTTGAATTTGACAATAAATTTTATGAACGTCGGAATTGAAATAAATTTTCATAATTATACTTTCGATGAAAAAGCAGTTATGAAAATTACTTGCTGTGGAAGGAAGATATGAAACAGCCTGGGTGGAAAATCAATTTGAAGACGAGCAAAATTTGTGAGGAACTCATTAAAATTCACTTAACAGCATCTGATTAGAATGAAACTATATTTTAGGCCCATTTTCAAACAGAAGATTTCAAAATCTGTTTGAGAGAATTTGCTGTTCCATCAATTTACAAAGCAGACGATTTCAAGAGCAAAATTCCATTATTATCATCACACAAAATACAAAACAAAATAATTATGGAAAAAGAGGAATTGATCGCAAAATTACATAATGAAATTGAAAATTTGAAAACGAAACTGAGAAAAGCAAGTAAACTACAACGTGATATATTATTGAATGGCGTTTTTGATACCGACCAAATTCAAAATTTAACATTGAAAAGTGAATAGTTATTTATGTATCAAGGGAATTATTATAAGGGCCTTTATTACGCTAGGAGATATTTTCAATTTTCTATATCGACCCATGTTACTTAGCTCCTAGGGTGCTGAGTGAAGTTGCTAAGAACTTTACAAAACCAAGTATGTGGTATATAGGTCTCGTCAAAATTAACTACTTTTTCCCTATGAAATGATTATCGAAGAATGATTTGTTTTCTGTATTTCAACACCCTGTATCTCCAAAATGAAGCATTTCCGGACACAAGCTAATATAGACTTTATTTATTCAAATTGTCTCAGAAATATTTCACTTGAACGTGCTTATGTTACTTCCTGTACATTGAGAATACCTACTTTCAATTTAACATTAATATCTTCATGTTTTATTCGCGGGAATCAATGTTACCAGGTGGCGCTCGGTTTTCATCGTTCCATGTCAAAGCCACGTCAAAACTGGGGGAGAACAAACTCAATCCTCACTCAATTGACTCAATCCCATTAGTACCATGTGCCATTAGCTTGTGTACTGTGTACTGATAAGAGTGATGTTTTCGAATGTCTTGATATTAATTGTCAATATTCGATCGAAAACGCTAATAATGCCTGTTGTAGATGTTCTTTTGGCAGATATTTTGCTCTATTTAGATGAAAAAAGCCGACCAGTAGTGAAAGGAGAAGCAGTTCTCCATGCTAATCATGTGATTTTGTGTGAGGCAGAAGACTTCAACGAAAGGCACATTTTTGCACTTTGTCTACAAACTTCGGCGATGAAATCTTCCCCACATGAAGTAAAATTGAAGTTGGGGTCCAGATGAACTCCTGTAGTACAATGGATTTGTATTTGTTCATGCAAAGCAGGACAATCTGGGTATTGTAAACATGTTGTGGCTGTTCTTTTATATGTCGATTAATTTGCTCGTCATAATTAGTTTGAATTGTTTGAACTATCTCCAATTTTTCAACCGATAATGTAAAAAAAATTAACCAACTCAACCATCATCACTACCAACAGTGCCAACACTTTATGTCATTGACAAGTTTGACTACATCTACAGCAAGCTGAATGCAATGTAGTCTATGCACTTTATCCATAGACAACAGTTTGTTTTCCCCCAGTTTGAAGTTCGTATTATGTACTCATCACTGGAGTACAGTTTCACATACAACAAGGAATTATAGCTATAAAGTTATCCATGTGTATATTTTTTAATATTAAAATGTTGTTACATGCAATCTTTTTATTTATATAACAGTTGTTCTGCTAGAAGTGTATCACTATAAATTGAAGTCAGTGTTTATACCCTATTTCTATTGTTCATCTACGGCTATGATTGATTTGACAGAAAATATAACCTCTAAAATCGTATCTGACAATCAGGCGCTACTAGGCACATTGAAAAGACAAAGAGCAGAATATATGTCTTATTCTTTTATTCACTCAAACCATTGTATTATAGAAAATAGAAAAGGACAAAAGTTCAGCTGTGTCCGAACTCTTATCAAACTAATACCATCCAGTGACTCTAGGTTAAATCATTGAGAAATTGAATTCAAATGATGTTAAACTCACTTTGGACCACTCTCGAGCTTTTTGTGTAACTGTGGTTATGTTTCTTTCCTGGCACCATAGGGCTCCCATGAATGCTCCTATACTCACTCCACCGACCATATCGATAGGAATTCCAGCTTCCTATTAAAAACAAATGTGCATGGAATATAAATGATAGTATATTAGGTTTGGGTGGGAGCTTGCTGCCGTTTCATTAGGTCTCCCTTCTTGGAAAAACAGAAGATTCGATATCTGTGCCTTTTGAAAATTATTTCATTCAATATTAGAACTTATATAATATCTGAAGTTTGAGACATCGATCAAGAAAACAAATAATAACAATATCCCAGCTGACGTCATGCGCAGAGCAAGACAAGTTTGAGCTTTCTGTCGAGCACACCTTCATTTCCTTCCACTATAGGTGATCCTTTTTTATCGGTGGTAAGTACATAAGAGATGATATTATCAATGCTTAGTTGAGTGTGGCTGTACTGGCCAAACCGATCAGTGATTTGAAGCTGTATGTATGCAGTATCATCGGGGAAAATATCAATCTCCATTCCTCATGTTGAGGTGAGACGTTTTTATTCCTTGTCGACTGCCAAGGAACCATCACTCTGTGGCACATCAATTGCTGTTGCGATTATTGAACATTCTCCCAGTGTTGGGTGTCTGCGTGCTGAGACTTTGTACAATCTATGTGAATTGGTATGTTTCACTATGTCATATTCGCGGAATTGGTTGTTTTACTAATATAAGTATTAATTGAATTTATTTTGTTTTCTTTTTTTCGCAAGTCTGCAACCCCTTGAGAACTTGAGAAGCATTTATTAAAATCATGCTTACGACTGAGTTGATCCACTGTAGTGTCAAGTAAATATATTTATTGTTGGGTATTTTTCATACGAAAATTCGCAATATGAGCCGTTTTGGGGAAATTTCGTTTAAAGAAATCACATGAATCAATGGGGAAGTTCCTTCAGATTCTTAAAATGAGATCGGAACTCTCCAGTTTTATGTCCAAGCTGTACAGAATGGCGACCGATAAAGTCCAAGTCGTTTTCATTTTCAAATTGAAGCAATTTCTAATTTTCGGGGCAACAAACTGTGACGTACATTCTGAATCTAGTCTGAATATAGCAATAGAATATCTAGCGAATAGCTAACGAATAGCTAACGAATGAAAAACAACGAATGGAAAAAATAGAAGAAGTAAAATTGGTAAACAAACACATACATAACCACAATTGCACTCGGAGTAGGAATGCAGAGGGTAGTTGGCTTCATTCTAACAGGTGATGGTTGTGTTATTTATGCATTGAAATATCTCGAAAAGAGCTCGATCCTAACCGAAGATATCATTGAATCAATGAATCACATCGGCTACATCCAATGATACTATCCTTCCTAATTTACTCTCATCGGTCAGAACAGAATGAAGCCGACACCCATTTATTTTTCCTCTTGTTGTGCCTGTCAGTATTTTGAGTGGTGTGGACGGACTCGAAGTATAAGGCGCTGTTGCAAGATATAATCTGCAACTTTCTTAGAAAATACATCCGTTTTCTTAAGGAACGAATTCATTAGCAAAAAAATGACTGATAAGTTATGAATAACAAATTGTTGTGAAAAATTATAGATAGAAAAATTATAGATACTATCGCAAAATCTCATAATTTATCTTTATTAGTAATCAACTTCATTCAGCCAATGAGAGATTTATGGAAATTATTCATAATACTTGACAAAGTAGAATTGAAGAACCTATTATATCCCATTGCTGTTATGATATGGTTATTATGCATTCAAAGAACAATTTACGGAAATCTAGACATATTGATGATTTTGGCAACGTCGTACTAGCACAGGGAATCGTATTTTAACTCTGTGTGAATGTAGATTTTCAGAAAGTACGTCATAGGAATGGTGGAGGAGCCAAGTTCCTCTTTTATACATTTAAGTGAAATTTGATCTTACGAAAAAAAGAAAATATACGTATATATTAATTTTTTATAAACTTCACAGTGAGATAAGAACATCAATATAGGAAACTTCCTTATTCACCTACCTGTATAGATTTGATCATCCCTATATGGGCGGCCCCACGTGCTCCTCCGCCGCCTAAAACCAGCCCTACGGACTTCCCCGTCAGCCACCTGGCTAATCGAGAAAAGTCAGAGTGAATGTTCGGGGGTGTTGTACATATCTTCGAATAGAGTTCGTTCTGAAAAAAAGGAACGATGTTATGTGAAATCAGCGTACAGTGTGTCCAGTTTTCGATGCTTTTGCGTGATATCTCAGTTATCTTTGGAGATAGAACCTTGAGGTTTTCGCCCTCCTGTGCCATTTTTTGTGAAACTCAAGATGGCCCAATCAGATTTTGCATAACTGTTTCCGTTTATCAGATACAGAGCGATTTTGAAAATCTATAATTTTTGAACCCCCTCTATATCTACGAAGTTTCTTAGCGAAAATGTCAAATAAAAATCTTATCCCATAGAGAATTTCACCCGAAGTCCAGTGGCGCACTCAATTTTTTTTTCGGGGTACGGTTTTGCAGATACGACTCAAACTTATGATTTTTTAAATGGAACACCCTGTATTTTATAAGCTCATTGAATTTCTTATTTTCTCCCTTCAGAATACTATATAGATATAATATTTTCGAAAATACTCAAAAATCACTAAAACATTGAAATTTAATAGTGGGCTATGGATTTTTCATATAAAAAAAGATCCAATTGAAGGAATATTTCTATCGATTTTTCCATGAAAAACACAAAAACAATATCAAGACTAATTAAGTAACAAAACACACAAGTTAGGTACCTGAAAGCAACAAATAAATGGTAATAAAAAGTTCATAATGTAGAATAAGCACCTGAATAAATATTTACTAAAACAATTGAATTTCGAAATTATTCATTGAATTGTTCAAATTGATGTCCATTTTTCCTAACACACAATTTCCAGAAATTACAGACATCCTTTAATGATTTTGAATGCATAATCCGTATTGAGAAAGTGTGCGAGGGAAAATGGACACCAATTTGATGGTGATGCTCACAGCGACCCCTACAAGAATATATTTTTCACACAAAAGAATTCTAGAAATCTATTTTCCTACTATGAAACGTTATACAGGTACGCACAAAAAAGTTATGACTTTTCAAAAAACTCAAAAGACATGTAGGTGGTGCAACCCCCCGAAAGAGACAAAATTACATAAGATTTGATATTGTCATTGACCAGATACCAAATTTTATTCCGATATCACAATTATTTTGAGATTTATTAACAAAAAACAAAAATAGGTGTTCAACTTTGACACTCTGTATCTCAGAAACGAATAACTTTCGGACATATATTTATACGAACTTTTCTTCTTATTTTGACGTCAGCAACATGCTCCTGAATATTCTACACGTACTTAAGAAACACCCTGTATAACAATACGTCAAGGATATACATTTGATACGTTGCATGCATAGTGGAAGGAGAATATGGTGTGCTCAACAGAAACTGTCATTGTTATTATTTGTTTTCGTGATTGATGTCTCGAACTTCAGATATTATATAAGTACTAAAATTGAATGAAATTATTTCGAAATGCCTACTTGTTTAGTTTCTGGTTATGGAAATTCCAACTAACATACAAAAGGCACATATATTGAATTTTTCTGCTTTTCCAAGAATGGAGCTAGACCTAATAAAACGATGGGAGCTTGCTGCCGACAGCATATAAACTCAAATAATGGTACCTATCTTATATTCCTTATATCCTCATTCCAAAGTATTCACCTATCATATCATCATCACATTCATATTACAGCACGTATTTCTTCAAAACATTTCCATGCAAAATGTTCCCAAACAAGTGCGAAAGTACGGTTCTTGAATTACACACCTCCAAAAAATCACAAATATTTGAAACAAGATGCCATTCCTACAGAACATCTTCCGAATATCAAGTCAGAGATAATTGAAAATGAATTCAGAAACTCTTAATTCTTCACAAAATATAAATTGCAGCAGAGATTTAAATAACAAAACGGCAAAAATTGATACTCCTGTTTTCGATGTCGGAGCAGAAGCAACGTCAACGTCGTTAACTGCTGAATTTAAATCTGTCAGAATCGACACAGTAGTGGATCATTCAGATGGGATTGGCAATGCATGATAATTCGTATGTATTTGCTATTTGCGATTGCGAATTACCTCAAGATCACAATTTCCAAAATCAATGAAATAGTAAAATCGAAGGAATAGGTACCTGTTTATATAAATTGAATTATTTCTAAACAGTTCGAGAAACTTATAGAAATCTCAATAAACATGATTGAATTCATTGCGCACGCCCATGGCAACGGTATCTGTCTGTGACTAGCAGCTGATATTGGTATCCCAGATGACGTCACATAATATGCGCGTAGGCACACCATCTTCTCCTTCCACTATGGTTGCATGTTCCGTGAAATACTCACAATTCTATACAAAGACTTCCTAGAAAACAGCCTGTTCGGAGCCAAAATATGATGGTGGCTGGACACCCACGTCCTCATGTTCAACCAAGCGATGGTATTCTGCGGTTTCCCGCCCTCCTTATGCAACAACACCAGCTCCTTTTGCGTCCGCATCGCCAGTCTCTCTATCTCCTTCTCCACTTTTCCCAAAGACGGATGGTTGTCTCCTAAGCCAACTGCAAGTAGAATACGAGTTGAAATAAGTATAATAATAGTAGGAAAGCCCAAGCGAGGATTTCGGGATTTACTCGTGCGCGGCAGATTAACATAAGGGGGGCATCGTTGGACCTTGTGAAGTACCCCCACCATACCTGGGCCCTTTATATGGTGTCGAAAGTTCAGGGCAGCCGATCAGATTAGTAAAAAAAATCGATCGTCAGAAATACTCGAGCGCTTCAGATTGTGACATCGTACGTTAATTACATGCACAAAAGTGTGCATTTCAATAATCTGACGATTTGAGCGTTGGAAGTTGCAAAAAAAATGGTCACCTGTACATTCTAGAGCGCGGTTAATTTTTCTCTCATTTTGAAGTCAATTAGTCACGGATCACGGAAATAACATAATCTGCCGATTTGCACAAGCCGGAGTAGCGAAAATCATCAATTAAGTGTGGTGCTTGCAGCCACTGGGAACTATGTATGTAATTGTGGTAACGTAGGAAACTGAAAAAAAAGTATCACTTTGTATATTCTTATCAATGCTTGAACCTTATCAGCTCATAAGGAGGAATCAGAACATGCAATAAAATACAAGGTGCGCTATAATAAAAAGTATAAGTTTGATACGCCACGCATTTTTGAGTTACCCTATATAACGCAAAATATTTCAGAAATGTACTGCTCATGAGACTAGACCATCTCATGAATTTTTGTTCATCTCTCTCGAACAGCAAAGCTGTTATCACACTTTGCCACACTATTGGTCCACTCTGTATATCTACATGAGCCTTATTTCATCTCAAAATTGTGAATTCTTGGAGCTGTTGATGTCCTGCTACAAAAAACTGACCCACCCTGTATATTTTATATTTTAGTTATTAAATTCAGTAAACAAAAATAAATCCAACCGTCAGATTGAGGCAATTCCTCTACATAATTGTCAGATTATGGGTCGATACGACAAGGACATCAAGATGAAGCGTCTGTATAATAATCTGACGCACTCGAGTATTTCAAGGTCACGATTTTTTTTTGCATTTTCAAAAATTGATCATGACTTTTGGTCGCGTCCAATCGTCAGTCTTTTGAATAGGAGCTACTTGAGGGTTCACTTAACGTCTCTTCTTCTTCTTTGGTCAGAGAGTTTTATTATGGTACACTTATAGCATGGCGTCAGCCCACTGTTATTATTTGTGTAGTGATCTAGACTTTCAAGGATTTTGTTTTCTTCCTCTCGAGAACCCGAGGCTGTCGTTAATAATTCTAAGTTTTTCTACGAGCGAATGTGCATACCTCCAAATTGTATCACGTTTTCTCTTTGAATGGGCGTGTACACCTTGGTAGAACTTTTAACTCAAACCATGTTTATAATGATCCTTTCATACATAAATAATGATTGACGACATAATTCGATCGAAAAATTTACTGGAATGTTCAATTTTTGGACATAAAAATAATAGTACCATCTGAAAACGGTCCCTCTCATGACGTAGAAACCTCATCTCGTCATAGTTAAAAGAAAATACCAAACGCCGGACGGAGACTGAGGCAACTGATATATTAATTCTTTCAACTGTGATATCGCGCTAATTCACTCTGCCAGAAATCATGTATCATTCATCTCTGTCTGGAATAGTCATCGCCTCGTTTTCAGAGGTCCGAAAAATCGGGGAGCGATAAACGGTTTGCGGTGGTGAGCTAGTTTGGGTGAGTTCTATCGAATTATGGAATAAAAATTTTTTGTGATATAAGCCCATTGTTTTTCTCTCAAGAAGCTCACTTGGTAGTAATATGATACCTACCGTTCTTCTCTTTCTTCACATTATTTGTGGCTGCCTCTACTTTTCCATTGGTGTAGTTCCTATAGAAACAACAACCAGGAACTTTTCTGTAGCTTCGGCCCATATCCGAAATTACAAGCAAAAGGGCTGTTATTTTGATTATCACCCTGTATAAAAAATAATATGATATTGGAGAACGAATAATTGGTCGAAACATTTTTTGGGCATGCGGACAGGGTGCCAGTGTTCTAATCCTCATTCGCTTGCCGGTCGTGGGTTCAATTCCCCGCGACTGCAAAATTTTTTCTGATGGCCCAAGAAAGTATTTGGGATCACACGTTGAAAGGTGAGGCCCCCGTCATTCCTTAGTCGCACAAGACTCTCGAAGACTTCTGAGGGTTGCTCGTAAGGGGGCAACCGAATGACGGATAGAACAATTTTAGAAAAATTAAAGTTTCTGTATTTCACAGAAAGTGATGATTTCAATTAGTATGAGTTGAAAAATATAAAGGAAGCAGAAAGATTTGATCAATTTAAAGAAGTATCCGATCAGCAAACTTCAATTCCATATCCACTAATCATTCACTATTAATTCAATATTTTGTGAGCCAAGCATATTTTCGAGAATGAAGATGAGAAAACGGGAAAACGCCGTTTTCGTTTATCTGGTTTCAAAACTATCCGAGACTTATTTCGGATTGAATTTGATGCGCACCTGATTCTGCGCATTCCGAGGACCGTTTCAACAATTTGGAACACGAACAAAGCTATCATTCCAAATCCTCACCTATGAGTATGCAATCGGCCTGCCGGATGCACCGTTGCGTCCACAGGCTGACCGTCAAGTCGCACTGGTAGAGCGAGATCTTGTGCTGGTCCTCCTGCTGCGCCAACCACGACGACAGCCGGTACTCGTTGTTGGGGTCCATGATTTTGCCGCCGAGCGTTTTACGCACCACCTCCGAGGTCAGTCTCAAAGTTGATCCTGAAATATGGTAAATGGGCAAGCGGAATAATTTTTATCTGCTCACTGCATAGAAAGTTAGCGTTCGCTCCCTCATTTGAGGACACAAACCTGTCAAATTACTCCCACGGGAGGAAAAAAATATTACCTCCCGTGGGAGGTAGAATAAATTGGCTTCAGCATGCTTCCTCGGTAGAGTTATACAAATGAGTCTATATGACTGTGTCGGTGACACCATTAATACATCTGATAATTCGTTTTTTGCGCTTTGAATAAATGTTGTGAATATGATGTGCCACCTCATATTGTTATACCATAAATGAGTCTAGACTGCACTTCTCCAAAATAAAATAATAAAAGGTTCTCTGTGTTCAACACTGTTTTCAAAGTTCTGATTTGATAGCATTTTTTATTCAATAAGCATGCCAGGTCAGTACAGTGAGATTTAAATTCTAGGGTACTATCAAAGTTGATACCCAGATATACCGTTTTCTCTTCTCGTTCTATTTCTTCTTCCCGAATTAAAATTTCAATATTAGTTTGTTCAGTGTTCTGTTGTGTATGGAAGCTGATGTAACTTGTTTTAGAAGCAATAAAATATAAAGAATTTCCACTAAACCAGTTACAAAGATGATTAAAAGTTTTGGTGTCAATTTTATCTTTGAGACTTTCATCTGTTTTATCATTGAATAGAAAGGTTGAGGCATCTGCATATAGTGTGACAAACGTCTCTTTGAGAATATCTGGCAGCTCGATGATGTAAATAATAAAAAGTACTGGTCCCAACACTGATCCTTGTGGAACTCCATTATTGTTATTTAAAGCTGATAACATATGGTACTCCTGTTAAGTTTCGATAGTCATTTTCTAGATAAACCGATTCAAATAGTCTGCTACATATTAAAATTGTATTTTTTATAATATTTTTTATAATTCTTTCTTTTTATTCCATCCCTCATATTTTGAATCAAACATCAAACGAAGATTTTAAAGAAGGGGCATGTTCCATCAAAACATCATTTTGGAAAAATTCGGTACCCATTGAGGAAATAGCACTCTTCTTATTACACAGCTGAATTATAAAATTGATTCATTCGAAATGGTGAATACATTAAAATACACAAGAGTATCATTTTTGAGTAGCAATGTGAAGGTCTTCATATTTCCTGGTGTTAAACTGCCGAAAATCGCATAAACATGAAAGTTGGGAGGGAAAGTGCCCCTTGCCCAACCTATTTACCACGCCTCTGATCAAACTTTCGGAAAATTCTCAACATCTCCGAATCAGGCATGAAAAGATGTACATTCACAAAATTTGGTGATTTTGTCACAGAGGGTTTCTAAAATATTCACATAAAATCAACTCGGGTCCTCCTTCCGATGGCTCTAACACCCCAGGGGGGCCTTTCTGGACCCATGTTTACATGAACTTTTTTACTATTGTTGTTCAATGAATCTGTGGTTGAAATCTTTCTATGCAATTTTGGGACACGCTGTATATAATTTTGTGGGGAACATCCAAAATGTAACCAAGAACTCCATAACTTTAGACCAGTCTCTATTTTGGTCATCGCATATTCTCAGAAAAAAAAATATCTCATTGCTGGTATATTATACAAATTGAGGTCTTTTATACATCTTAAATACTTGAAATTAATTTATTTCAGTTTGATTTACTCTAAATTGCAGTATCTGATATCGATCTGGGGTACTGCAGCAAAATCTGTTTTGAAACCTCTGAAATCTCTTCAAAATAAGGCCATAAAATGTATGTATGAACTACCATTTCTGGAATCAACATCTAGATTATACAAACCAAGGGGTCTGCTAGATATTGACTCTCTCTTCAAAATGAAAGTATGCATTTTTATTCATTTCACTGAAAATACGAAAAATCACTTTCAATGTCAATTCTGATACCCATGAGCATCACATCAGACGAAGTGAACATTTGAAAACTGTCAAAATAAAAACCCAATTCGGGAAAAAATCATTGTATTTTTGTGGAACAAATATTTTTATAATAGCCTACCCAACAGAATAAAATCTATTAGGTTCGTCACCAAATCTAAGTGTGAACTGAAGAAATATATTTTATCGATTTAACTCTCTCCTTGTATCAATTGATTGAACTGTTTACCTTTCATTGTATTGCATATTTGATTTATTTTTTTTTGTTTTCCTTTATAAACATTGTATGTTTCTTGGGATCAATAAAAGTTATTATTATTATTAAATAATGCAACGAAATTATGTTTTCTAAATTTCAGGATTCCATCTCAGGTGGTTAATATCAAAATAATAGGTATCTGGAAAGATTGTTGAGTAGATGCGTGAAATGACATAACAGATAAATAGTAGATTGTTTTATTAGGATCAAAAGTGACACTTTGTTTGACAAGCGAATTTTGCATTTGCGAGGCGGAGCGTTTAGCGAAGCCGAGCGAAAGCAAAATTTGCGAGTCGAGCAAATAAGTCACTTTTGATCCGAATGAAACATGCTATTTTTTCTGCAACCGAAACAATTAACTCAAATAAACATGTGAAGTAACCACCAATGCCGTGCCATATGTATATATGCAATGCAACAAATATTGACAAATAATCCATGTGGTAAGAATATTCTACCTGCATTAACAGCAGGTTAGGTTTTCAAGGTTGTTCGAATTGTAGTTTCAATATAAATACAACCACAGAGTGACATATTTGTGTATGGACCAGGTGCTCTAATGGCAAATACCGCGCCAGTGCCAGGTATATGAACAATAAGACGTGGAAAATGTTAGGTTAGTGAGCATATCAACAATGATAATAGTGATTATTTATTCCTCTCCATCCTACACTGTGTTTGACTTGATAATCAAATGAAGCTAAACAATATCGTTGTTTGAGACAAAAAACTATTGCTTGTCGTGATTATTCAAAAACAAGTTATCCATCCCGAGAATAAAGAATGAAATACAGATCAAGCAAGTATTTGAATCTTGAAGGCTTCCCTGATCAAACAAAAATACTTAGCTGAGATGTTTATAATTCCAATACTAAACTATAATAAGGTGTATTTATATCTCCAGCATGGGTATGAAATGCCAAATCTGTTGAAATCGGAAACAAATCAGGTATGCGTCTCAACCAAAATAACCAACCGTCACAATGTTGTTTATTTTTGATGACGTCCAGTACATCCTTTTTAGTTGAACTTTAGCTCCTAGGAACTAAAATTCAACTTTAGCTCCTAGGAACTAAATATGTTGCCTAGCAACTTACCTATTTTTGTGTCAGTAATAGAAACGTCAATTTAAGAGCTAATTTTGGTATCAAAATGGACGACTTTTGTGTCGGTTGCAGAAAAAAGTAATCATCTTACTTACCGATGGAACTTAAACAATGGTAGAGTTCATAAGAGAAAGCAGTCAGCGGCACATCGTCTGAGGCTGCCACAATGGCCACCGTTGAAAAGTTAATCTGCGAAGGCCTACTTTCCACGGCCGAGCTACTCGGACTGATTGTGGCCTTTTTCCAAGTACCTGTCAAGAACAACTCGTGAGTATCCACAATCGACAGAAAATTCCGAAACTAGGGCTGTTTGGGTATAAGAAATCATAATTTGCTATCCACTTCAATGTATTGTTTGGATAATGTTGAATGTTGCACAGTTCCAATTTGAGAAATTGTTTTTTTTTGTTATTTTGGGCAACTCTTTTATTGTGCAGCTTCGCTAGCCTATTGAGATGCAACAAAAATTAAAAACAATAAGTATAACATATGAGTGACTTGCATGTCAACAAACTTATATAATTACTCATTATACCGGGTGACCAGTTATATTCTGACCCATTTCACCTTCTGATATCTCCGAAACTATTCAGATTATCGTTGTGCGGTTTGGACTTCTTTATTTTGATATTCCTCAAGTTTTTTGACTGGTTCACCTTTTCACCTGAACTTCCGGTTCCACCGGAAACGAACAAGCCATTATTCAGGTATAGGGCAACTTTTTTATTTCATTGAATCACCCTGTATATTTTTGCACATTCAGAAAGACTGGTCTTTTCTCTATCTAACAATGTATTACAAGTTATGTTCTCCTAGAAAACTATTAGTGTTATAACTCTTTGAAACAACTACTGCTTGTGGAATGGTTCAAAGAGATTATGCAATGTTATTATAGTCGCCTTTAGAAATTCTGGTCACAACAGATGAAATGCCAGATTAGATGTGTCAAATGAAGATTATCGAGCGTGAAGGCATATAAAATTCAGATACTACAGGAAATCAAACCAGCTGATTTTGAAAAGAGGTTGAAGTTCTGCAGGAAAATCCGTGCATTGAAGAGAACTAGACACTTCCTGGATACTTTGATAATGTCTGATGAAGCAAGTTTCTAAATTGATGGCAGGGTGAATGAACATAATTGCCGCATTTGGGCATTCTAAAATCCAAGAAGCATCCATGACTCGCCAAAAGTGACCGTTTGGTGTGCCATGTCAAAGCACAAAATTTATGGTCCATTCTTTTTCAATAATCCAATTGTTAAACTCTCTTTCGCACTAAGACATATTGGAAAACTTCTTCTAACCACAATTGGAATAGGATAATTTACTGGATATAGCATATTTCCAACAGGATGAAGGTACACCCCTCTAGAGTTCCTAAATGTACTTGACACTGCTGTTTTGACGTTTTTTGTATATACAACACACTTATAACAGTACTTGATTTTTTTCTCATGGGGTTACGTCAGAAGTCGTTGCTACAATCTAGTGTGCCTCAAAATCTCGATCAACTCAAATAATATGCAGTAGATGCTTCAAAGAGCTTTGACAGTTTTCTAGGAAAACAAAACTTGTAATATATTCTTAGATGTGCGAAAATATACAGGGTGATTCAATGAAATGAAAAAGTTGCCCTATACCTGGATTATTGCTTGTTTGTTTCCGGTAGAAGATGAGAAGATGAACACGTCAAAAAACACTTGAAAAACATCAAAATAGACTAGTCCAAACCGCACAACGATAACTTGAATGGTTTCAGAGATATCAGCATTTGAAATGTTCACCCGGTATAATAATTTTACATGTAGTACATTATGTTTCTATCGAAAGTGTTAATGGATGGACTATTTTTGATGTTCGAGAATTTGGTTAAACCATTGTTGGATTTTCCAATGGAAGTCGGTATACAGGGTGTAAATTTGAAAACTTTCAATGCGAATATCTCGCGAAATAAAAAAGTTAGAAAAACGCCGTTTGGCACAAATGCTACAGAGTTAGGGGGAACTAGAACCACCATATTTCAGTGAAGGGATGAGTCACCCTGTCAGCGCAACACACCCCAACTTTGAAATGTCAAATGGCACTACCTCTTTTGTGATACCTCAAATGAACGGTCTCAGTCAGTAGTATTCATCTGTAAAAGACTTTTTTTCCACCCACTACAGGGTGTACGAAAAACATTAATTCGAGGGTCTGAATTCGAAAACTTTCAATGCGAATAAAGTCGAATAAAATAGTCGAATAAAATAAAATGCAGAATGCCGATATATTCCAAGAGATGTGTTCCAAAATGTTAGAATGGCATTCGAACATCGATTATACTATTGCTTACAACAGAATGGATTGCATTTTGAACATCTGATCAAATAAAATATCCTTTTAACACAATTCATTTTATTTTATTCGACTTCATATTTTTCGTACACCCTGTAGTGGGTGGAAAAAAAGTCTTGTACAGGTGAATACTACTGACTGAGACTGTTCATTTGAGGCATCACAAAAAAGGTAGTGCCATTTGAAATTTCAAAGTTGGGGTGTGTCGCGCCGACGGGGTGACTCATCCCGTGACCGAAATATGGTGGTTCTAGTTCTCCTTAACTCTTTAGCATTTTTGCCAAACGGCGTTTTTCTAACTTTTTTCTTTCGCGAGATATTCGCATTGGAAGTTTTCAAATTTACACCCTGTATGAAAAGAATGTTTCAACGGCCTCCACAATAATACAATCATTTATGGAAATCTTGTATAAATAGGAAAGGACCTAACACAGTATCTTAGGGTATTCCAATTTTGTTTCTTAGTATATCTGACATTTTTTTGTTGAGTTCTTGTTTTTCATTCAAGTAGTGTGAAGTCATTTTAAAGCATAATCAACAAATCCCATAGTTCACATTTCAAATAATGATCTACTCATATATGTATATCGTTTCAAATAGCGGTTGCAAATTCGAAAAAAGAGCTGTACTCAAATACTTATACCCACCCATAAGTGTTTTGAAGCAAAAAAGTCAGTTCTTTGTTCATCATTGAATAACTATAGCTAAGTTGAAATTTTTAGATTGCAAATCGAACATTTATCACGCCTATAAAAAGATGTAGAGAACCAATCAATGGATTCAACGAACGAGAGAGAGATAGGCAACAAGTTACCAGCTGATGGTTGGGTAAAAATATATTTGTTATTGTTGCACACCTGTTGCACACGCAGCCATACTGATGGTCCTTTTTTTATGTGACTTTCAATGATTTGTACAGAACTGTAAGGCAAGGCAAAAATATTAGTATCATTTCAAATCAAATGCTTTGCCCCAAAATGTCACAACTCTTAAAATTTCATTATTAGAAACCTAAAACGGAAATTCAATTGATAGTCAGTGTCACTTTGTTAAGAAGATGTTTGAAGAAGAGGGATAAAATTTCATAAATCTGCTCCCGTTTTCAATGTAAAAATGTAAAAATTATTCTTCGAGAATTGTCTTCAGTTTTTCTATTGACACTTCTTAGTGAAAGAAGATGATAGAAGCAAGTGAGTTACAGAATGTTTTCATTAATTGATCTTGAATGTACCATTTTCATATTCAGACTTTAGGAGTGGATACCATGTTCAATTTTTATCAACTGAATAGAAGGCAATGTTATAGTCTTCGTTTAAAAGAATGCAAGCAGATTTTTTGATTTCCCTGTTTTGGTTATCCTCTTTTCCTTTCATCATGTTTATCCTTTAGTCAGTTAGGATAAGGTCATGCAATGTACATTTCGGCAAATTGAATGTTTTCTTAAAACCGGCAATAACTTCAAGAAATCATAGCTAGCTGAATATGGATACTGAGTTCTTAGACTCTTAGACAGCCGAGTATAAGTAAATCGATGAATATAAATATTCTTACCTAATATTCTATGTCCTAACAAATTAATTAACCTAGTGACGACAATTGGATATCTCAATTTGATCGCATTGAATAATCCTTCTGGTAATTTGGCCAATTCAGAATCTCGAACTGCAATCACAGTTGTACTACGTTTTGTCTGGGTTACCATTTCTACCTAGAAAAAAAAAATTAATTCCTAAATAGAAGACGAAAAAGGTGAGTAAAAAGTTGCAATGAAGCATGAGCTCTGCTTTAATATGCAGAGAGGTCAATATTGAAGGGTTTTTTCAATCACTCTTTTCATTCCAAAATATTTTAGATCGTATGTGGTTACACTTCCTTATTCGAATAAATTTTTCAACCAGTGTTGCCGATGTTCGAACAACATGACAAGCGTTAATGCCGTATGACAAAAGCTCATCAATCTAAGAGATGAAACTGGATCCCATGGAGCAAGCACAGTTAGGACCTGTCATATATCTAAGCTAGGCACTGCAAAATTTTCTTATGCTGTATTCCAAATTCAACTGGTCAGTAGTGTCAGTAAATCCACTGACTCTGCTGAAAATCTGTGTTATGAAATATGAAATCAAAAATACAGTGCTGTAAATCGGAACACGTTTTCATCAGTAATCAGCAGCAGTTGTTCAGCTGGTGAAACTTGAATATTATTCTGAGAACAATCATTTTGATAACAGGCATTTTCATGATATTTTTAATGTATTATTGATAAGACAAGACTTAATGTTCAAAAAACAAGGACATTCCTTCCCCCTCTAGAATAATGACAGTTCACTGAAGCCACACTAGGTACCTTTTGATAGTCAGCTATTTCAGCAGAATGTTGAGTCGAAATTTGTTTTTCTTCATGTTCTGGTTCCCACGCAAAGGGATATCCTGTAAAGTTCAGAGAACATCGTGAGAACCAGGGGAAATAAGGTAGGAATTGGTGTTCTTCTTGAATTTCTGGAGGTTATATGCCTCGGGGAACACCTCCCTTGGCAATCGCTGTTCGTTGGATGAACAAGTCTTTGGAAAGAGATGTTCTGCAGGTCTCCAAAGTGACCACGAAGGGGTGCGAAGCCTCAACTCGACGGGTTAATCTCGCGGGGACTGCCAAGGGAGGAACAATTGTTGACATTCCAGAAGAGCATCGACCATGAAAATATCTATAAAATAGAGCCAGATCGCCAACTTTTCTACGGTATTCCAGAGAAGTTAGTGAGTTTGTGAGCGAGGCATCACCCACGAGACGAATTGCCCTTTTTGGACTGAATCCAACAGTTTCAGGGTATGTTTGGGTGCTGCACTCCAAATATGGAAACAGTATTCCAGGACAGTCGGATCTGTGCCTTATAGATCATAAGCAGCTGGCTGGAAGTAAAATAGCTCCTGGCCCGAAACAGAAAACCAAGTTTTTGGGATGCACTTTCAGCAATTGATCTCACGTGATTTTTTTTTTTGAATGAATAGTATGTCTGCTCACAAGTATATGTCACGTTCAGTGAACTTTTCCTATTTCGGAATGAAAAATCAGCAGAATCAGTAGTGGCAGTTGAATTCGGAATATAGCCTTAGTAGACGATCAATAATCGTTATAAGAAATGTAATTTGTCGTTTTTTGTTTATCAAGTTTTCCGGCTGTTGAATGGTTATTATTTGGTGTTTCAGTAACTGATTTAGAATCATAAATCTAAGCAGAGTATTCTGTGAATAAATATGGTTTGGCAGTATCAAATCTTTAGTGAAAAGTGAGTTACAAATATCCTTACCTGATATTTAACAGGCGTGTTTATAATATTCAGAATATCTAAATGACAAATTATTATGTTAAAATATGTGAGAGCTAATTTATGAATGCACATGCACACATTTATAGAGATCCCGATTCATTAGGTATATAAAATATATCTATGATAAATAGTAATTCTTTGGCAATGTTTCCGAAAAGTTATTCCCACCATTTGCGATTTCATTCATTCATCCATGTTCAGCTTTTAGGATTGTTGGCGTATACCTTCCATTCTGGCTATATTCCGAATTGAACTGACACTACTGAAAAATCACTGAAAGTGACAGATACTTGTGAGCAGACTATTCATTCCAAATATTTCGACTCAATATTCTGCTGAAATTGGTGACAATCAAAAGGTAGTGTGGCTTCAGTGACCTGTCATTATTTCAGAGGGGGAAGGAGTTTCCTTGTTTTATGAACATTGACTCTTGTCTCATCAATAATATAATATATATAATATCAGAAAATGCCTATTATTGAAATTGTTGACGCTTAGAATAAATAATATTCAAAATCCACCAGCTGAGAAACTGCTGCTGATTAAAGAAAAGCATGAAAACGTGTTCCGAATTACATCACAGTATTTTTGATTTTATATTTCGGAACACAGATTTTCAGCAGAGTCAGTGGATCTACTGACAGTACTGACCAGTTGAATTCGGAATATTGTCACGAGTAGAAAATATGGTATATTAGTAATTTCGAACCATGGGGGTTTTATAAACATAAAGATAACCAAATCATCCGTTGACATTGAATTATGAAACTGACCAAGGAACTCTCATGAGAAATGTACGAATCTAATAAATTCATGTATATAAATATTGGATGTGAGGGTTCCGAAGTTAGTCTGGTCTTGGGCTACTCTTGACTTGACAAGAGCTCGTCGTGATGGTCGTTATAAGGTAAGTTGTTATCAGGTCTTTATATTCATTGTTGGTTATTCATATTTGTCATTGCTACCCATAATGTTTCATGCTTCATTAAATAATGTTATGTTTGAATATAGTCTCGTACTTTCAGTTACCCCTAAACTATTAGTGCCTATTCGAATATTACCTCTCGCAAACTATTAAGCCAAGCATTACCCTTTATAAATCGATATGGATGGACTAACCATCTTTTTTCTCGTAACATGGTGGAAACCTCTACTATATCGTGACAATATAGCCTCTCTCTAATGATTGAAGAATGTATCGCGGTGTCTATTGTTATTTAGTCTGAGGTTCTCACCACTCCGATCAGGTCCCCTCGTCCGTACTCCCCCAACAGCTCTTTCTTCCCGTTTTTGTGGGTGATGACAGACCGCAGCCGACCGGACAGCACGATGTAGGTGCTATCGCTATCGTCGTCCTGCCGATAGATGGCTCTGCCCGACTCCATGAAGAGCCAGTCGAGGGCGAAATCCACCTGTCGCACGAACGGCGACAGTCTCCTCACCACCAAGTGGGCGATGTACAGGACGACTTTCGGGTTCTCTTTCATCAACCTGAATATAAAAAATCTTCCTTTTCGTAAATTCCGAACGGCATTGAAAAAACGGATTCTATGTAAATAAATAAATAAAAACCAACAATTTCATCCTTATTCCTTTACTTGTTGTTCATTAATATTAATACATATAAGTTATGGGTATTCTAATTCGTATGTCTTCATCATGAACAATCCTTGTACTACTCAACCTGTGCTATTATTATTATTATTATAATTATTATTATTATTTTAGATTCATATAATTCCAGTCACGACAATGCGGCCTCCGACGTCACGCAGAGTCGTGCTGGATAAAATCCAGTGACTACTCCTCACAGCCTGTGAGGTGAGTAATCACTGGGACCGTGTGCTCTCAGTAGACGCAATGATCCTAGTATGACGGCCTTCTGCATTCCACCAGCCAGGATATGTGCCTTATCACGGCACGCTGGGATTTTCTGGATCTCCGAGAGCAGCGTGTGTCGTGTGCCTCCTAGGGAGCCGATTATCAGGATGACCAATTCCACAGAATGGTCTGGATAGAGCCGGCGGAGTTCGAAGAGAAGATCTCGATATTTAGTCCGTTTCTCCTCCTCCTTCAAACCGATGTTCGGTTCGGCTGGCGCCGAAAACTCGATCACGAACATCGCTTTGGTTTGATGGTCGAGGAGGACTACATCAGGCTTGTTAGCTTGTATTTGCCTGAGGGTGGGGAATGAGAAGTTCCAACAAATTCGGCACCTCTCATTCTCCACAACGGACTCAATATCCCCCGGAGCATAGGGCAGCACTGGGGTCTCGTCTATTCCGTACGAGTGCCTCAGGTGATAATAGAGCACTCGCAATGCCGCATTGTGTCTATGGATATAGGCCGAGACTGCATACACCGTGCAAGAAGACAGCAGGTGCATAATTGTCTCGGGCGCCCTGCGGCAGGCCCTGCAATTTGTGTCAGGGACCTCCATACCCATGACACGGCTACGGTAGACGAGAGTGTTAAAAACCCCATCCTGGCATGCCATGATGAACCGCTCTGTTTCCGATTTGAGCCCGCCTGACTTGAGAAAAGCGAAAGTCAGTTCTTTGGAACTGGAATAATTATTATTATTATTAGTATTATTATTATTATTATTATTATTATTATTATTATTATTATTATTATTATTATTTTAGTTCATATAATTCCAGTCACTACCCTGCGGCCTCCGACGTCTCGCAGAGTCGTGCTGGATAAAATCCAGTGACTACTCCTCACAGCCTGTGAGGTGAGTAATCACTGGGACCAAGTACCGTGTGCCCTGAGTAGACGCAATGATCCTAGTATGACGGCCTTCTGCATTCCACCAGCCAGGATGTGTGCCTTATCACGGCACGCTGGGATTTTCTGGATCTCCGAGAGCAGCGTGTGTCGTGTGCCTCCTAGGGAGCCGATAATCAGGATGACCAATTCCACAGAATGGTCTGGATAGAGCCGGCGGAGTTCGAAGAGAAGATCTCGATATTTAGTCCGTTTTTCCTCGTCCTTCAAAACGATGTTCGGTTCGGCTGGCGCCGAAAACTCGATCACGAACATCGCTTTGGTTTGATGGTCGAGGAGGACTACATCAGGCTTGTTAGCTTGTATCTGCCTGAGGGTGGGGAATGAGAAGTTCCAATAAATTCGGCACCTCTCATTCTCCACAACGGACTCAATATCCCCCGGAGCATAGGGCAGCACTGGGGTCTCGTCTATTCCGTACGAGTGCCTCAAATAGTAGTAGAGCACTCGCAATGCCGCATTGTGTCTATGGATATAGGCCGAGACTGCATACACCGTGCAAGAAGACAGCAGGTGCATAAGTGTCTCGGGCGCCCTGCGGCAGGCCCTGCAACTTGTGTCAGGGACCTCCATACCCATGACACGGCTACGGTAGACGAGAGTGTTAAAAACCCCATCCTGGCATGCCATGATGAACCCCTCTGTTTCCGATTTGAGCCCGCCTGACTTCAGAAAAGCAAAAGTCAGTTCTTTGGATAAGCCCCGGTCTTCAATGGTCTTGAAGTAGACCGAATGCATGGGCTTATCCATGTGAAGCTGCAGGAGCTTTCTCACTTCTGCAGCTTTGATGCGGGCCTTCCTCCGAGCAGGCTCTAGCTCAGTAACTGAGTCCTGAGCCTCGCGCTCGGAGTCGAAAATCAGAGACAATTCATCGGCTGCTCGACGTGCTGCCCTGAAAAGAAAAGCTCCTACCCCTGCCTCTTCATGGGTTTTAACCATTTGCAGGAGGGGATCCGAACTCCTGATGACTTTGCAGGCGCCATCCAGAACCATTCTGTTATGGAGATACTCCAAGCTCAAGAGTCCACGGCCACCCTGGTCTCTAGGTATGTATAACCGTGGAACGGACGAATTCGGATGCAGACTCCTATGAAGATGCATCATCTTGCGAGTACTTACGTCAAGTTGTCGCAGCTCGACTTGAGTCCACTTTATCACTTCAAATGAGTAAAGTAGGATCGGAACAGCAAGCATATTAGTAGCAGCGACTTTGTTCTTGCCCGACAGTTCTGACGACCAGATCTGTCGGAGCCGCTGCCGATACTTGCTGCGGAGAGCGTCTTTTACCCGTTGTGCCTCCTGGATATGAGTTTCCTCCTTGCTATTATTATTATTATAATTATTATTATTATTATTATTATTATTATTATTATTATTAACACTCTTCAACTTTCTTTCTTTGTTCTTAGCATGGAAAAACATGTATGTTGTCTAATTAGAACAAATAAAACACGTTTCCAAGAATATCATTCAGTCAATCAATCAACATTATTATTCCCAAGAAACAACACACCCTCAAGAAGAAATCCTTTCATTTTTCAAGTTTATATAAACATGATTCTCAATTGGCTCAGCCGTTGGATACTTGATGTAAATCTCCTTTGTAGAGAGGCATTATGGACGCCAAAGTCGATATAGTACCGTCATAAGGGTACCTGACGTGACTCTTCGAAATAATATCATATAGTATCATCTACAACTCGGTCAGAAATCAAATTTCAGATGACCAACATGGAGTTGTAGAGAAGAAATCGTGTATGACCAACCTCGCATGCCTGTCGCAAAGTGTGTCAAAGGCACTGGATGAGAGACAACAAGTTGACGTCGGTCATAAGAAATAGATGATTTTTTTCTCAACTTTTGATTCATATTCAAATTGATTTTTGCTCACCAATATGAGATGATTTGTCAAAATTTAATACTTAATGTTTTCAAATATTATATTATTTATTAGTTTATTATAATTGTATACATTTTCAATAAATAAATAAAATTCGATCAAATTGATTTTTAAATTTTCCTCGATCGATTATCATTTGGCTTTTCTGAAAGCTCGATCGAATTGTTTACTAGTGAGCTCTTTGATAGGAAGCAATATGTCGAATATGAAAATTATCAGTCACCCCTATACATCCCTAGATCGGGAGTTCCACAGGGTTCTAAATTAGGGCCACTATTATTCCTGCTTTTTATCGATGATTTAGCTAAAAAGATCAATTGCTCAAAACTTCTTTACGCCGATGACTCAAAGCTGTTCAATTAACAATTGAATGTGGTAATTATGGATTAATATTGATAATTTATGTCAATGAATATTGTCAGAAAATAAAAATAAAGAAATGTATTACAAAATCTATTCAGATTTATCACACTAGTGTTAAAAGCATGGGTAAAAAGAAGGAATAGGATATAATGTTATACATTTAGTCATTTATTACTGTAGGTATAATGTTGTCAACATTTCTACCAATAAAACTTTTTCAGCTATATTTCCAACACGACGGGTATAGCCATCAGTGTCCAGCCTGTCAGAAAAATTGATTTTGTGCGGGCTGCAAAGACACGACGGTCGTTCAGTTTTTTGTGTGAAAAAATGCAGAGAAATGTTTTTATTTATTCTCACATCATTTTTTTGACATGATATTAGTTGAACTTCGGCATGAGACTAAAGTGCATTTTTTTGACTAGGCACCTCATGTACATAGGTATCCGTCAACGTGTTAACGGACTCAGCCAGGGCCTACTCTATCTTACCGGGCCGTAGTCTATCCCCTCTCTCTCGACGCTGACGTCACACTAGTAGGTTGAGATTTCACAACAGTTCGTACTGGTGCGTTCGTAATTGATAGGCTATAACTCATTTACTATAAATTTTAGAAGCACACTCAATCGAGACGAAATGATCCCCAACGAATTCCCCAACTTTTGGTGAAAACATGAATCCAATAGGGTGAATCAATACCGAGTTCTGGCGTTGTGAAGAAATTCTATTTTATTGAAAATCAGGACGTTGTACTACAGAATACTATTTTTTGCACATTTGGAATCGGAATAAGATAAAACCAACTCAGTATGTCAAACTAGGATAATGTGTCAATTGAATAGTGGAAAAATGGTAGAGTTACCTACATTTAGTCCGAAAGTAATTAAATATAAAGAGCGCGTAAAAAATGAGCCATTACCTCATTACCTACTTTCGCTGTATTACGATTTCGCGGTTATTCCTTGGACTGGTAAAGGGCGATGAACGATATACTTTTTATTATATACTCATTTTATCTCTACAATGTCAAAGTCACAACATGAAGTTTTGGAAAATTTTGCAGAAATTAAAATCAATTCCCTTCTCAATTATTCCGAGATTTAATGTTGCAGTTGTGGGTCTTTTGATGAAATCATCAGAATATTCTCTAAAACCATTTCGAATATTCTGTTGAACAACTATTGCAAAATCAAAAATAGTGGGATTAAGTCCAATAATGAAAAAATAAAAATCACTAAACTTTCAGGATGAGATATATAGTCAAGATTTAAATTTTTAGTAGTTTGTGATTTAGTTGTATATATATTTTTTGTTATTAGTGCATTTCATTTTGTGATATATATATAAATTTGTTTTTAGTTTTGTATATTATTATATATTGATCACTCCAACAGTTTATTTTGTTTGGTTTTGTTTGTATGCGGATTCAACGTTTTTTTTTCCTTATTTATTCATATATCGTGGTTCTGGGTTTTCTGTTATTCAGTTCGTAATATTTATTATTATATCTCTCATTGTTGAAATACCTATTTTGTTCTTTTTAATTCTGATAGTTTGTAAATATATCCAAATCAATTTTTTTTTCATGTATTTAACGTTATTCTTGAAATATATACTCTTCAGCAGAAAATAATTATTACCGAATAGGCGTTTTTGTGTAATAACACACTCGAGTGATAGGATTTCTAACGTCATCAACGTGCGTCCTGATCATCTTTAGACATAAACGCTGCTAAAACCCTTCGGAATAAAGTGGATGTGTATTATACCGATTTTTAGGCAATCAAATTTCCTACAAAAAAGTCAATGACAGCATATATCCACAGTTGATAGGATTAGCATGGGAGGCGTCCGAAATTTTTGAACTATTCTTTAATGAACACCTGAATCATCGTTCTACTTGAACTGAAATATCGGTTTGTTATTGTCCCTTGGGGATTTGAAAAAAAACTCAGTATATCTAGATACTATGAGAAATCTTTTCATGATTGAATCATTTCTGTGAATTGAATATTGGAATTTTGGTAGCTGTTTAAAGAAGGACAATTCTGAATGACGTCAATTGATTTTGATATTCGATATTTCTGACACTAATGATCGTAAATCAGTGAAAGTTGATTCATCTTCTGGAAAATTCTGTTCTGTACATATTTGACCTCTTGATATTTTTTGCTAACTGTAACCGTTTTCCCGAGGTACATCAATGAAACGGGAGAGACAATTTCCACTGCGTTGATTTTGTCCCTACTAGTGTGACGTCACGAAAGCGATGCTCCGGCCCGGTGATAGAGTAGGCCCTGACTCGGCCGTCAGTTAATTGATGGAAATCCTCTTTGTAGAAAGGCAATATGAACGCCAAATTTGATACACTACCCTCGTAAGGGTACCTGACGTGATTCCATACACTCTTATACATGTATGTCGACTAAATTTTCGAAGGTTCCAGCCATCGACACAGTGAAAAATAGAAAAAAAAGTGCATCACTCACGTATAAAACGTATTCTTCGTAATCAGAGCGATCCTGGTGAAATGTTTCGCCCGAATGGTAAAGAAGCTCGGCTCTCCTGTCAACACGGCCAGTCCTCCGACTATCTCCCCGGTGTGAGCTGTGAACATGTGCACTTCGTCCTCACTCTCCGCCATTTTTTGAGACACCACCAAGGCTCCAGACAACACGTAGACCAGAGCACTGTCCTGGAAAAAGAAAGAGTTGGAAAACAGAGTCGAAAAGAAAGAGAAGGACCTTTTGCCTGTGAAAACTCGGGGTTCAGCATGCCCAGAACGAAGAGCCTTTCCACTTTGGTTTTCTCCTGAGGAAAAAATCAAACAAAATTATTGTAGTGAGCATTATTAAAAGGCGGAGATGTGTTTGCATAGAAATTTCGCGGAAACCTAAGGAATAATAAAGATTAGAAAATAGAAAAAACATGTACACGTTGTCATCGCTCTCCGCCATCTTCTGAGACACCACCAAGGCTCCAGACAACACGTTCACCAGAGCGGTGTCCTGCAAAGAGAAAGAGTTGGAAAACAGAGTCGGTAAGAAAGAGAAGGACCTTTTGCCTGTGAAAACTCGGGGTTCAGCATGCCCAGAACGAAGAGCCTTTCCACTTTGGTTTTCTCCTGAGGAAAAAATCAAACAAAATTATTGTAGTGAGCGTTATTAAAAGGCGGAGATGTGTTTGCATAGAAATTTCGCGGAAGCCTAAGGAATAATAAAGAATAGAATATAGAAAAAACATGTGCACGTTGTCATCGCTCTCCGCCATCTTCTGAGACACCACTAAGGCTCCAGACAACACGTTCACCAGAGCGGTGTCCTGGAAAGAGAAAGAGTTGGAAAACAGAGTCGGAAAGAAAGAGAAGGACCTTCTGCCTGTGAAAACTCGGGCTTCAGCATGCCAAGTACGAAGACTTTTCATTTTTTTTCTCCAGATGAAAAATTAAACAAAATTATAGGTAAAAATATTTACAATACATTGCCTCCTTCTTTGAAAAATAAAACAGTTTTTGAGGATTCAAGAAAAAAATTAAATCTTGGTTGAGAATTCAGACATATCATGTTTTATAGTTATTTTCAGATAATATAAAAATGTATTCATTTTGTTAATTGTACTCAATGAGAAAATGAATTTTAGCTAGTCAGTAGAAGGAAAAAAAAACTACATGAAGTTCCAACTGTTTTGATCATGTTTATATTATAAAAAAATGTACATTAAATGAAGTAAATGAAATAATAATTATTAAATGGCGGAGGTGTATGCACAAAAGTCTTGCAGAAACTTAAAAAATAATGAAGAGAAGGATATAGAAAGAACATGTGAAATTTGTTCCCGCTCTCTGCTATCTTCTGAGACATTTCACCTGTGACGAAGACGGTTTCTACTTTGGTTGAACCCTGATCAAAAATCAAATAGAACTTTGGCGACTATCGGTGGAGCTGAGTGTGCATATAAATGCTCAGGAAATCAGAATAAAAATATCTAATAGAATATGGAAAGGAATTTAATCATTTTCCTTCAAAACCTGTACAGAATCTTGCAATATTAGCGGTAAAATGTTTTCGGTTGATGTCTGAAAAATGAACTTTACATTTTATTGAAAGAACCACACATTAAATGTTTGACCACAAAATGATAAATTTTCACAAATTCTGTAAATACTGTCCTGCATCCGTACAGACAGAGAATAGGGTGGATGATGGATGAAAGAACTATTTTTCTGATCAGGAATAAAGCCTCCAAGAATTGATAGATTCTTGTTTGTCGCAGTAGAACGAGAAGAAATCTAATCAAAACATTGTTTAAAGCATTTTGATAGGTTCAATCAAGTTCCGGAAATGTATGGATTGTCATCCGATCTAAAAAAAATTCAGCGTATTGAGAATTTTCATACCTTGTTTGAGTCTTCTTTCATTAAGTACGTTCCAGCTGATACCTCTTTTATTTCCACTTTTCCTTTCAAGGCATCGCCATTCTCTAATCCCAATTCTATGACGAAAGCTTCGGTGGCAATTTCTATCAAATCTTCCTCATCAATATTACTATCCGCATTCGATGGTCTATTTTTCGGTAGAAATGTTACATCCGGATTCTGAAATTAACATATAGGGTTTAACAAAATCATGGTACACACCTGCCTCCACGTTTGTGCTTTAGATATGAAGATGAATAATAATTGAAATTCAGAACAACGATCATACTTTCTACTTGATTAACACCTTACTTATTTAACAAATAAATGATTTTATTTACAACCATATATGTTATGTTGTCATTACTAGGGTCCCTTGATGGAAATTGACGTCAAAGTCATCTTAACAGGGTACGGACAGATCCTCGTCTCCTCTCACTCTAAATTGTTTGTGAAACAGTTATATAGTTCCATCCTTATTCAATTCTGGGGATAAACACTAGATTTTTGACATTCGTTGTTTTTTAGGTTATATTGAGGTCACTGGCGTATCATACGTAATTCCCATATGGAATTCCTGATTCAACTATACCAAGATATAGATGAACAATCCTCTAGTTTTAGAGTTTACTACTCCAGCATAATCTTTGCGAGGTAGGGAACATATAAATTGTACTGGAAGCTTAATATATTTCACCAAAAGAGATTGTTCTCAGACTGTATACCAGGGTTGACTGAATTGACTAAATGAATTCTGATATACTTTACCCCCATCTTATACATATGATTTTTCCGTCTCCCTCAAATAAAAAGTCATTTTCGAATAATTTAATGATGAAAGTAACAAAGAAGTTAGTATACGCCTCGGAACGTTATTTTCACTCTTGCAGCCTACATATTTTCTATTTGTCATATTGGATCCGTCATCTTGAATTTTCAAATTTTGACGAAGCAATCATTATCTCCCACCCCAACAACCCTCAGATACCAATTTTGAATAGAATCGGATCTTCATTACAAAACTCCTCCACCATATTGGATTCGCCATCTTTAATTACCCAATTTTGACTGAATTGTTATAATCTCCGACACCAGAAATCCCCAGATACTGTCACAAGCTGTAGGCGGGGGTTGCCTAAGCTGTGTTCCTTTTGTCAATAGAGAATGAACCTTGGCAATTTATGAATAGTCGGAAAAAAAAGTGAAATCATTTCCAAAACAACAAATATACACATTTATTCAGAATCAGAATATGAATAACAATTTAAAACATACCTTATGTTTGTACATGCTATCTTCTGAGACCTGGAGGAAGGGCATCAGTGTCACAGCTTCAAACGACCGATGAAAACGTATTTATCATTCTTAAGGTAAATTCGCGACGCGTTCTTGTCAGAGTCCTAAGCGCCTGATTTTCGGGCTAAGGACCGACAAGCCATTTTATCGGAGATGATTCAACATCAAGAAGAGACTTCCCGTGGTCGTGTTGAAAAAACAGAGCTACAATTAGAACTGGCAGTCCAACTCGCAGTCGAACCGGTAGTCGAACTGTCGAACCCGCTTCCTTACGTCTTTTAAATAGTTGTCTTTATTTTCGGAAACGTGACAGTAAGGAAATCAGGTCGATAGTCAAGGTTCGTTGAAGTCAATGTCACGCCTGTGTTTATGTTCAACTATGGAAAAAAGAGTTCGTTCACGATTCGAAAATTTTGGAATTCATAAACAAAGACGCGACCGTTCAATGACTTCGAACCTTGCATGAATTTGAATGAATGAATGAAAAATAACCCTATTTGTGACATGCCCCTCCTCTGAAAACGACGGCCCCCGTCGTTAAAAAATGGTCAGATGGGTACTCCTAGCACTACGTACTAACCTATCATCATACAAATCTAATAATAAAAAAAAAACTCCTATCCTTAACATAAATCATTCTTCAAAAAAATTTACTGGGAATTACTGTAAATTTCTGAGAATTCCTATAAAAAAACCTATCTAAAAACTGTCCATATAGTACAACTTAAATTTGTGAGTTCATCCACACACTTCACTGTCTTTAGGCACTCCAAACTGTAGTCTCTGGGTTTCATCTCGGCTCTTCTGGCATCTGGCTTCATTACTGTCGATTAACTGACACGACTAGTCAGCTATTGTTAATCAGCCTGGCTTGGCTAACTAACCTAGGAAGGACTTCCTGGCATGGCTTCGACGGCCCGGAGGTATGCTGAACATCTGGGTTGGCTAAATACCATAGTCCGGTAACGTCTTCCCTGATTTCCTCTAATGACCGAGTTTGGTTAGCCCTGAGGATGCTATCCAGCGGCTGTAGAGATGCCATCTCTCCATCAATCGTTGCATGGCTCTCTGTATTCATTACTGCCGTTCGTTGCTGTTGAAACAACGGTCCATTATTGCTGGCAAGGTATGGTTACGATAGCCCTTCTTGTTGGTTGCAGTGGTACCCTTAACGGTTGCCCTTCGGGATGTCGTCAGCCTATTCATGCCTCCTGCTGTTGTTGATGCCAGAACTGTGCGTCCACTTCTTGTACGATGAAACCCATCAGTGCCTTTGTGTGTGCGATCACATGAAAACAAACAGAAAATATATGGCAGTTAAAAATCTTATATTAAAATATATATAAATAAACTTTATATTGTGATACCCATCTGACTCATTATACTAAATAAAATTAAACCGATTAACGTATACCGCGTGACTATTTCTATTATTATTTTGAAACTACCTTATTGGATTTATTATGCCGGTATCGAGGTGACCGCTTTTATTTTACTCGAATATTGACATTGACCGTTACATGTCATTGTCACTGACCCCAGTATGCATCACTCGGTTAAACTGTTAACCTCTTTCATTAACCCATCGATAATCCTAATACTCATTTTTTTTATCATTATATTTTTTTCCCTTTAATTTTTCCATAATAAAATCTTCCAGATAACGTATTGAAATTTGTCTTACTTAAAAAATGCCGCTTCCACCTATCATTATTTTTTCCTATCGTTGAACTTGAACCTCATGTATGTGTTATGATATCTGATATCATAACAATCGCGAACTCGAAACTCGGATATTATTTATAAGCAAAACTGTTTCGGATGGTGATTCAAACAAGATAAACATATGACAACCCATTTCTTATTTCTTGTTTCCCTACTGATCATTTTTTTTTCCCACGAACTGAATTTTGGTTTTTCAAATATGAAAAACATTCACCATTTAAATTTTTTCCCAATTTGGATTCGCTGAAATACTTCTGTTTCATAAGCGAATGTCATTTAATCGGAATGACTGCCTTCCAAGAAATACCTTGATTTGTATTCCTAGATTTTGACTTCTTAATATGTTAGCTATTCTGAATATTTTGGTATATCAAATACCTACACTTGTAGTGTGAGTAACATTGAATAATAACAAAGTGTGTATTAATTGGTGGCCTCATTTCGATTTTGTTAACAATAACAAATTCGTTCGAATGCAAATATCTATTAGAAATATGAACTAACCCAAGACTGTAAATTTATAATATATGAATCGCGAGTTTCTGCCATTAGCTTGATGAAACAGTGAAGTAGGCATTTTATTTTTCCGGAGGGGAAATAATACTTGCCTAGAATTTCTTATCTCTCGTTCCATGATATTGTCAAATTGTCATCTCGTCATCTCGGTCGTCTTGTTGTTAGCACCAGTAAGCTTCCTGGTTTTGCTTATCGTTCTTCATAACAATATAGGTTCTGCTGAGTTTCGGTTCATGATGGCTTCTTTTTAGAACTTCTTCTTTCTTCATGCATTTCTTGTCCTTAAACATACTCAACAAAAAAACGATTAATACATGTTCGATTACTAAATGGACAACGATTTCCTCTGGAAATAAGACAATTACTTTTGGAAACATGCTCGTCTTGCGTTAACTACTATCGATATCGGCTCCCTATTTTCTACCAATGTGATTCTGATTCTCTGATACCCATTTTCTTCACAATATGTACTTCCTTTGGTACCAAAATAATATTCACTTTGCGTGCTATCTTCATATGTGCATCTATGTGTCAGATCTGCTTCAGAGTCCATCCTCCCTGCTCTAATTATTGAAACGTTTGTCTAATATCCTAATTTTGCGATATAGCTCAAATATCCCTACAATGTAGAACATTTTCCGGGAGTTCGCGTGATGAAACCCTTGAGCTCACTTGACGTTTGGTTGGCCAACCTTTGCACATCATAGCACACCTAATAATGTACCAATTTCTCAAAATTCCACGAATTCAATAATCTCAAAATCTTAATAGGTACGCTCAATAATTCTCATAACCTCAATAATTCTTATATTCTCAATACTGTATCAATAACATCAATTAATTATCTCATCTTATCGCTTTACTTTCGACTAATTCGGACCATTTCCTGAAACAACTACTCCCCTGGCTACTTACCTCGACGGGTATTGAATGATACAGGGTGATGATCCGATATCCACAGTGACTACTGCACTGATCAAGTCGACAGCGATAGTTACCTTGACTCCTTGGTCAAAAACACAAATCTCTACTTTAGCTATACTCTACCCCGTTTGGGTTTCCTGATAGCCCGTATACAGTGCTCTTCACTGCATATCAATAGTTTCCTCACATTAAAAGCTCTTCGTATCTACATTAGCCGATATCTTAAAATCCTTTAATATATCATCAGAGCATGTTTCCTAATGAAAAAAATACTAAAATCACTCAAAACTGTTCAAGTTATCTAAACAATACGAAAGTACGATAAAAATTAAATTTCTTCGTTATCTGATTCTTGATTTTCCTCCTCTTCAATTATTTCAGACATATCAATTTCGGTTACTTCTGGGGTCCACGGTAAAATTCTACTTATATATTATGGTTATTTGAATTTCACTATCTATGCATACTCCTCCATTTACCTCGAATATTTTGTACTTATATGAATTTTAAATGTTAATATATCTACTTTTCCCTTTGAACTCCATATTTGTCAACTAATGCCTCAAAATCTTCAAGATTGGATGCAATAGGCATCCATCAACATCAATTCATACCTATATTCAGTCTTCAACTAATAATTATCATAAAAATTGCCATTAAAACTTAATTACTATTCAAGCCAACATTTGAAAACCCTAAAAGTAAATGGTTGTATATAACATTAGGTGAGAAAAAATGTGTGCTTCCTCATAAAACATTATAATTCTTGTTCATTCTCCAAGGATCGTTAAAACTAATACCTACTTTGCAAAAATTTTGAAACATAAAGCTTGGCCTGCGTTGAAAATTCCGAAAAAAATAGATTACCTATACCCTACCGTTATTGAATTCCGTCATAAGTGATTACATTCTGCATTGAGTAATGAAAAAAATCGTGGAAAAACTATTTAGGGACATCCTTTATCTTGAGTATCATCAGCAACAAATATTCCAGGATTCCCTCAAAGTTCCAGTTGCCTATTCCGCGACACTGGATACACTTGTGAATTGTGTACCTCATATTTCTTCATATGGTCACTTTCACATATCTCGATCAACATAACAAAAACTCAATAATCAATAAAATTCTCAATTACCTTTTATAATCATCAAAAATTCTCAGCACTCATCAATAATCTCTTTTTTCCACGCACAAGATCAAAATTACTCTTCTAAAAAACATGTAAATCACCTTATGACTTTTAAATTCTCGAAATATAGCACATCTTTATCAACTAATACTTTCTTTATGTTTTTCAATAGGCCATAGACAACTGAAAACAAATTGATTTTTTTTTCTCAGTTTTTGTATGGGTACAGATGGTTTTAGCATGCCTATCTGTGTGCACTACCAGGAACGCCCCATTTGAAGATCAAACCGAGGCAGTCCAGTTTTAGCATGCTGGACCGTTCGCAAATCCTGGCCAGATGCCCCATATAAAAACAAATTTTTACATTGAACACTCAAAATAAAGAAAACTGTCTGACTGAAATATTTGTTTGACTTCCATAAAATGAAAATAATCTAATTGAAAAAACAAAAGAACATGAGATTTTGAACTATGAGGTTGGTTATGAAGAACCAACCTCGGGAACGAGCCATTGGCGCCTCCACCATGTCACAAACTGTAGGCGGGGGTTGCCTAAGTTGTGTTCTAGATCCATTAGAGAATGAACTTTGAAAGTGATAATAATAAAGAATACTCCAAAGGGTTTTCAACAAAACATACACACACATTTATTCTTGGCATAACTGAATAACAATTATTAATAAAAACCTTAACTTACCCTATATGTACATTGAAAGCTAATATTGCTGGGACCTTAGAGGAAGGGCATCTTCTGTTCTGCCCGAACTCCGAAGGTTCGGGCACAGTGGCAACTTTTCAAACTTACAATCGATAGAACTTGAACTTCCCTGATTCGCACTCAAAAACAAGACTAGAACCGTCGCTGTCGAACCGGTAGTCGAACTCGTCGAACCCGCTTCCTTACGTCTTTTAAATAGTTGTCTTTATTTTCGGAAACGTGACAGTAAGGAAATCAGGTCGATAGTCCAGGTTCGTTGAAGTCAATGTCACGCCTGTGTTTATGTTCAACTATGGAAAAAAGAGTTCGTTCACGATTCGAAAATTTTGGAATTCATAAACAAAGACGCGACCGTTCAATGACTTCGAACCTTGTATGAATTTGAATGAATGAATGAAAAATAACCCTATTTGTGACAATACCAATTTTGATTTTTGTATAGAATCGGATCATAATTACAAAACTCGTTCGCCATATGATCTTCCTCAACAAAATATACCCTATTATTAAAATTTTGAATGATTTTCTGTAGCGCCCATGGATGTGACGTGACAGCAATGTCAGGGATGCCAGTAGACAAAACTAAAGTCTCTAGATCATTAAAAAAGAATGCAGCTATGATCTGTCCGTACCCTGTTAAGATGACTTTACCGTCAATTTCCATCAAGGGACCCTAGTTTGCCCAACGACCGAACGAAAATACCCGAAGCGTTGTTACAGCAGTGACGCGACAATGATGGAAGTAAGATATGGTGCCCGTATTCGGCCATTATTACGTATTGACACCTCTACTTCCCGCCCTTACTTCCTGTCCTCACTTATGTAATATTTTAGATATGTTCAAAACAAAACAGAGATTTATTAATTTCGATCGAAAAATGATGGTTGTAGTATACAAACCTCGGTAGGAAGTTTCATTCCTGTCTCGACATCATAGCTAACTACTCTCACGACAGGAATGAATCACTTCCCACCTCGGTGTGTAATATACTATTTTCTCACATCCAGGTTCATCGGAAGTGGTAGTATATTTTTGTGAAATTGATATCCGACCCTGACATTCCACAGGTACGTAGAAATCTTCTCCAAATTGTGTGCGACATATTTTCATTCATTTTGCAGAATACAAAATGAACGAGAACATTGTCCTTAAATAATTGTACAGGGTGAATCAAGCTTCCTGCCATTGGCTTATTGTCAGGAAAAGGTGAACTGTGTGTAAGGTATATTTTTTCGTATTCAAACATGTTTTCAACCTATTTCAAAATGGCGGAAATGGCGTCAGAAAAATAATTTTTCCCACAAACTTACCATTTTTCCCCATACTCTAAAAGAACGAATATTTATAAACAACATTCAGTCACAGTTTTTTCTTTCTTCATTTGGTTGATAGCTATGGTGCTTCAAAGTTGGCAATTTCAAATAAATATCAACTGACCCCCGCCGTAATAAGACTTAAGTTTGCCGGGTTTTAGTTTCAATTGAATTTAATATAAAATTCAGAATGTATCCCAAATCATAGTCTTCAGAAAACAATTTGTTTCCTGGCCAACTTGCTTTTAATTATGAAAGGGTCAGTTGAGATTTGCCCATAGCAATCAAGCAAATGAAAGTTGTTTTAAAAAAATATTTTTTCTCAGAATATGACAAAAAATAATAACTTCATGGAAAAATAATTTATATGACACCATTTCCGCCATTTTGAAAAAGTTTGTTTAGAAACGAGAAATTATACATATGGGAGATTTTTTACTTCAAAATATTATGGCCAACTTGACTAGGATACTGCTAATATAAGGAAGATTTTGGAAATATCACAGAAGCGATAAATTATGGATACATTGAAAATACACTTCATTGTTTCATTTTGTGATTTCGTGAGTGGCTTCAAACGTGAAATATTTGTACAAATAGATATTAGACTGTTCATAGCGACCGGCCCGTAAACTAATCTTTTTCATTGTTCATTATCAAGAACAGAATCACTAGTAAGTGTCCTCGCCTGGTATCTCGACCAATAAGAAGCGAGGTCAAACAGTGCCTATCTCATTACACTCTTCTTTCTCAATTGGAATGTACTATAGGTAGTAGAACTTCAAATATGTCTCAAAATTCTATTATTTTTTTATAACCGTAATCAAAAATTGAACCAACTATTCTAGACATTTGAGAAAATCATGATTCAATCAAAACTTACATTACTACCCAAGCTACTTTCAGTATTAGCAAGCATGTCAGGAGTATTCATGTTTGGAGAGAAAGATTTGGACTCCACAGAAGATTTCCTTCTCCTATGTGTAGGCACAGGTATAGGCTGTGAAGATTGGTGTGCATTTTCTACATCTTCTTTCCTCTTTTTAGTAGGAGACGATGTATATCTCTGCTTTGGATTCTGAAAAATCATTAATATGCTCACATAATTTGAATCTACAGGAAATATTATACAGAGTGGGCCGTTGAAAACGAAACAGAGGCTCTGTAGGTCGCCAAAACCGGATTATAAAAAAAATCTGAAACACATCAACTATATTTTCGAGGGGGACATCGTTCTAAAATATTTTCAGCCCTGCGGCGTTGCCGCTTCTAGAGAAAAGAAGCAACAACTTTGTTATTTCGAATGGAACACCATGTATTTTATTGCATTTTTAGATTCTCCACGAAGAGCTGATTTCATCAATGCATCACACTTGGGGTCTAGCTGTAATGGTTTCAGGGATATGAAGTGTTCAAAATCGAGAATATAGTTGACGTGTTTCAGATTTTTTTTATAATCCGGTTTTGGCGACCTACAGAGCCTCTGTTTCGTTTTCAACGGCCCACTCTGTATATTAAAAGATTCTAAATGAAGGCATCGTAGATAGACACAATTTTAACATTCATTCATTTTGTTCACCTCGGCGATATAGTCTTTTCCTGCCATCTATTGAATTGATGCAGATGCGGCTCACATATGTTAGAAGAACATTGGCCCACTGGTCTTTTTCAATTTATGCTGCAGCCCTCGCCACATCAGTAGGAGTTAAATCTCTCATGTTGAATTTTCATTAATCAAATTCATGAATTGTGAAAGAGACATAAACAAAATAGCCAACGTTGATTAACAAAAATAGCATTTCACCAAAAGAATATTGGAGCAACTTTTATCACCCCTGCATATTCATGAGAGTATTCGTCGTTCTCCCCAGTTCGAGTTTCGAGGTGGTGAACTTAATACCAATATCCACCTCTTCTTTGAAACTCTGTATTTTCTTGAATAATTAGGATATCAAGATGAATAAAAAACGAAAATATTCGGGATAGATTGGGCTATAATTTGGTGTTGGGAAATCGTTTCAATTATCAGTGGTTCACTCCACAGGATGTCTTAAAGAATACCGAAAAATCCGTACTTTCTTCACACCCCTGTATATGATATAAAGACGAATCGTTTGGAGGTGGTTATTCCTCAGATGTATTCGTGAAGAATGGAGCTACAATTCGTGAAAAACAAATTTGAATCGAGTGATCCGTTCGAGAGAAAATTGATGTCAAACTTAGTGTAAATTTTACCCGTTCCCCTAATTGTGCCAGTGTGTGTATAATAATAATAATAATAATAATAATAATAATATTGATTCTCAGAAGATTCAAATATGAAGGTAGATACATTATAGTGTATTGTTGAACGGGAATAAATATAGACCAATGAGTATTTGATAAGGAACTTCGTGATTTGAATATATGTTCAGATCTGCTTTAGCCGAGGCTAGACTGTATATCTGAACATAACATACTTATCATATTTATTATATTTAGTAGCTATAAATTACCTAACTAGTAAACTAAAACGTATACCTACCTATATCAAATAAACTATCCATCTATTTACAGGGTATGTCACGACAAGCTTACACTATCTTTATATCGAGAATCAGTCGAGAGAAATCTATGAAAATGTGCATGCTTATATTTCAGAATACGATCTCTTTATTCAGCATATTTTCGACAATGCAGTGTTGCCGCTTCTACAAGAAAGTAGTAGCAACATTTATATTTCAAATGGAACATCCTGTATTTTATCGCATTTTTAGATTCTCCCTAAAGAGCTGATTTCATCGATGTATCACACTTGTGGTCCATCAAAAATGATTACAGAGAATGGGGTGTTCAAAATCGAGGTTTTTTGTGACGAAACTATTTATTATCGGTCAAAACGGCTGGTTCAAGATTCAGAATTTTGATCACCCTGTATCTGTTCTGTTGAACACCAGTTAATAGTACATCAAGAATTGAGATAGGGACATGGGAGCCGTTTTGGCCGATAATGACACAAACGAATCCTAAAGTTGAAAAACTTCGATTTTGAACACCCTATATCTCTGTAATCATTTCCGATACACCCCAAGTGTGATGTATCGATTGTCACAAATGAGGAGATATTTGAAGTTAAATTCCAAAATCCTTATGAAATCATATTGGTTCGAAGTCATTGAACGTTCACGTATCTGTTTATTATTTCCAAAATTATTGAACCACGAACTTTCGATTAATAGTTGAACCTAAACACAGGCGTGACAATGACTTCTAACCATCCACCTGACTTCCTCACTGTCACGTTTCCAAAATATAGATTAAATATATAAAAGGCGCGAGGAAGCCAGCACAGGCATCAGTTCGATCATTTTCGATCATTCGATCAGTTTCGATCATTTCGATCATTCGATCAGTTTCAATCATTTGCCACTGTGCCCGAATCTTCGGAGTTCGGGCAGAAGAAGATGCCCTTCCTCAGGCTCCCAGAAAATGCCATTTAATTTATACATATAGGGTAAGTTAAGTTTTATTTATTGTTAATCAGAAAACAAAGAATAAATGTGTGTGTATATTTTGTTGAAAACCCTTTGGAGTATTCTTTATTATTATCACTTTCAAAGTTTGCCGCCGACAGTTTGTGACACGATGAAGTCAGCTCTTCAGGGAGAATCTGAAAATGCAATAAATTACAGGGTATTTTATTTGAAATAACAAGTTGTTGCTACTTTTTGATAGAAGCGGCAACACTGCATTGTTGAAAATATTTTTCATGGATTTCTCCCGACTAATTCTCGATATAGAGATAGTGTAAGCTCGTCGTGACATACCCTGTATATTCCACAAACACCTCAGGATGAAATTTGAAATTTCGATTTCTTGAAACTAAAATACACACCTGCCTGACTAATTCAGCACTGAGTCCCAAATACTGATGGAGCGCCGTGAAGGTGACCCTTTGCAATCTCACCATGATCACCTGCAAAACTCGAACGAAAATATCCGGATACTCTTGGAAAATTTCTTGGAAGGCTGTCATTGGTAACTTGACGATCACAGAATCCTCGATAGCCCTGGCCGATACTGTCTTATAGGGTTTAGTGTGACCCTAGAAAATAGAATTATTGGCAGGTTTTTAATTTTTATTTCACAAATCAGAAATACGAAAAAGAAATGTGTATTCGGATTTAATAGGAAATGTATTGCTATTTCCGGATAAACGGAAAGATATAAAGTTGACCAAATTAGACAGTAATTCAATTGTATTGAAAAGGAATATTCTCAGATGAATTATGAACATGAAAAAATGAAAATATGGATATACATACAGTGTGTCTCACTTATAATGGAAACACCCCCGTATCTCCCGTAATCGTTGGGTTAGGATCCTGAAATTGGCTGGAGCGAGAGATATACCAAAAATGTACTCTATGACCAAGTGGGATCATCTTAAGTTATTTACACTGCTCGCCAACAGCCATGGAATCACCCCAATTTCCGGAAAATGATATTAGGAGTCAAAACAGGTTGAAAATCACTTCGGATTCGGAATCAGGACGCCCATAACTATTCATATTTGTTCTGAAAAATTTATTTTTGTCTCACTTTTCATGGAAATCATCATTGGGTTATGATCCTGAAATTGGCTGGAGCGAGAGATATATCAAAAATGTACTCTATGACCAAGTGGGGTCATCTTCAATGATACACTGCTCGCCAGCAGCCACAGAACCACCGACATTTCAGGAAGAAAAAATTATTGAATTGAAAAGTTCAGACTCCTACATCAATAATAACGCAAGATACTGGGGTGCTTCCATGAAAAGTGAGACAGAATTAATTATTTCAGAACTGAAAATTGTTCAGAAGGAATTTGAGTACTTAGTGAATTAGACGATCTGTTATCTGTTCTCGAATCCGTAGTGATTTCCAACCTATCTTGTCTGGTAATATGATTTTCCGAACATGTAGGTGGTTCCATGGCAGCTAGCGAGCAGTGTATACCACTGATGGTAATTTCCATTGGTCATTGTCTGTATCGTTGGAATATTTCCTGCTCCTGGAAATTTAACAATCCTAATTCGATAATTACGTAAGAAAAATGGTTAGTGAATTGGGAGTCCTGATTCCGAATCCGAAGTGATTTTCAACCTATTTCGACTCCTAATATCATTTTCTGGAAACCGGGACTGGTACCATGGCTGTTGGCGAGCAGTGTATATCACTGAAGATGACCCCACTTGGTCATAGAGTGCATTTTTGGTATATCTCTCACTCCAGCAAATTTCAGGATCCCTACCCGTGATGGAACTGCGTGTACCCCCACTTCGACTTGTACCTATCACCCTTCTTCCTTCGGTATCTTTCCTCGCTAGAGCAAGAACTGCTGCTCGAGCTGGATGATTTCCTTTGGTTCCTGGCAGTTTGCCCATGTCTCGTGATTATAGTGAACACTCTGTATACTCTATCAACACTTCACACACCAAAATAACAATGACTTGCTTATCGTAGGCACGTGTTCACCACCACACCTGAACTATAAACTACAATATTGGACTAACACTCAGACAGACCCGGAACGTAAATGAACAAATATATCGAATAGCAAAATTGAAATTACAGTTTATCACTGACACTGACTGAACGCGTTGAGCATACTGACTCGCCGCTTATCATCCCAAATTCCATACCAGCTCATCCGCTCAGCCGTTATTCCTTACATAACCCATAATGAATCAACACCCAACAAACATGAAATACAGGGTCGTTTCTTCGGATCGCCTATAAGTTTCAGAGATTTACCATGCAACTTTTGTTTTTCTTATTGGCGCCATATTGTTTTTTTATATCATTGAATCACAGCTATGTATAACATATTGACATTATTACACGAAACAGCGTCAGAATACAGTGAAAACCATTTTTTGCGAATGTGGTGGGCTATGAAAATAAAAACCCAAAATATTAGTCATCATTACTACAGTATCAATAATTCATAGAAAAACCAATAGAAATGTTTCGTTAACCAAGACCTACATATTATATAACAACCATTGCAGGTTTTTATTTAGTGTTAGGCTTGATGGTCTTGAGAAAATTATTTGTCAATGTCCAATGATTCGCTCTTAAAATGATATGGGGTTTTTAATACATTTACATTCTAAAACATATTCAAATTGATTAACCAAGAAAATAAATAAAAACGAAATCTGTGATTTTCCGTTTTTTCAAAATATCTCAGGAACGGCTGGGTTTTTTTCAAATTGTAAATGGTCACATTGAATACGAGTAAATTGAGCAACTTTTGTATAATTTGATCAACTTTGAATCTCTTATCGTTTAGGAAATCGGCGGAACCCTGTATAGTTGGATCAATAGTTGACTGGCAATGGCATTAAAAGTGAATCTACATTAATATAGTTGTTCCAATTGTCATCAAGAGAGAGCAAATTAGGACTCATGAGTTGTTCTTGGTCTGTTGACAGATAGGTATAACACCCAGTGTGTGTGTGTAACATTCTCCACTTCAGGTATACTATGCGTTCAATATAATTCAATGTGACTAAAGTACTGCAGTCTGATGATGACCGTGACGAAACCGGTTACTGATTCATCATTTTTATTAGTCAATCTACTGTAGAAGTCTCAAAGTGGAGTGAAGTAGTTAAAATATAATAAAAAGACGACGAAATGGAGAGTTTTCATTATATTTTAATTTTTATCATTACATAAAGTGTGGTCGACCGACTGAAACTTTGATTATATACAAAATTTAGTAGACAATTCGACTCCGCCCGTCACTTTGAAGTATCCGTCATATGACTCGTTCAATATCTTCATTAGTGGAAAATAGCTGATTCAAGTTCTGATTTCCCCAAGTGATATCGAGGAAGCAGCAGACATCAGTCATCAGTCATTACCAGTTATGTAATATTTTACTTTACCTACGGCCACTATAGAAAGTAGGCAAGAACACATGAGATACAGCCTCAGTAAATAACTCTTTACGCACAGTAAGCACATCGCACAGTTTTCGTTTATTCCACCAGTATAGATATATTATGATCGCGTAATCGCCGTCAACAGCGGATGGCATAACTGTCAAGAATATAAATTCAGACTGTTTGTCCAAACTTTTTTGATGTACTATATGGCAGTAGGTAAAGTATAGTATGTAATGCGTGTTGTAAAGCAATTACGCACTTATGGAATTACGCACTCGCCGCACCGAGGGTACGTGCGCAACTTTTCCATAAGTGCGTAATATGCTCTTTACAACACATATTATGTCATATATTATTACACAACTGGTTACGAAAAGCAAGACGCTTCAAAACTTCGATCAGTTTCAAAGAACATGTCAAAATCAGAAAAATAGTTATTTGAATACTTACTGTAAGCACGTCTGTAAAACTCAAAAGAGATGTTACAGATTCCCCAGGTTTGACAATTTTCAAGGTATTGGTGCCTTCATTACCAGTGATGGAAACATTCAGCTTTCCACTTTGAACAATGTAAACATTTTCATCTGGATCACCTTTAAAATAATAATTAGTCAAGGGATGTGAATATTATTTACCAGTCAAGGACTGTACATCTTCAATTTAGGGACTAGTAAATGTATACAAGTTGTTTCGGAAATCAGGGCGATGAATAATATGGGCTGTTGTATGAGAGTAATGAATAAAAAAATCCGGCAACATTGCAGAAATCCCTGATACTTCCAGTGCTATTGACTTCACCGAAAGCAAAAGCTTGGGTGCAGCAATTAACCTCTACTACATTCAACAATTTATATAAAAAGAGCAAGTCTGTGTTGAACCTACGTTTTTCTAAAGTTTCCAAACCTGTGCTATTTTGAATGTTGTCATAATCATGATTCCAATTTATTCCCAGTCTGAATGCATAATGCCTGAGAAATTTTCTCTGTATTTCTTCAATTGTCCCGATATCGACACTGTAGTAAGGACACCATATAACAGAAGCATATTCTAAGCCAGACCTAACAAGTTCTAAAAAAATTTAAAAATTTGTTCTAAAATTTGTTCTATCCGTCATTCGGTTGCCCCCTAACGAGCAACCCTCAGAAGTCTTCGAAAGTCTTGTGCGAGCAAGGAATGACGGGGGCCTTACCTTTTAACGTGTGATCCCAAACACTTTCTTGGGCCATCAGAAAAATTTCTGCAGTCGACGGGGATCGAACCCACGACCGGCAAGCGAATGCGAATTAGAATATAGACACTCTGTCCGCAAGTTTGTGCGGTTTCCAACTGTGAGAACACAGGAAATCATTTTACTATATTCGAATCTCCATCGGATAACGTAATTCTACAAAAATGGAAACAGAATATGATGCGGCCGGCATGGAATATAGGTTCAGGTCACAAAATTTACGAGATATTCACTTGTTAGGATATTGAACATTTTTCAACGCATTTTTATCAGGTACACTTCAGAACGGAAGATTTGATGTTGAAGAATAGGATCGTATTGAAAGAGACGAACCCACAATTTATAAACTGAGCGAGTATCGAAAAAAAACTTATTCCAATATATACTTACATATAAGACACTTATTCCATAGGAATAGTATATGTATTTCGTTGGTATATATGTACATACCACCTTGATATCGACCTCCATTGAGGTCCTTCAGTCTTATAATTCAATATTTCGAGACGAAATAATGTTCTAATCAATTTATCGTACCCACTCGAGGAGACACAATGCACTCTCATACAAAAACCGAAGACAGAGAAAGATATATCGATGTACTCTTCCAAGGACTAGTGGAGGAAGGATGATGCGAGGATCCTTTATCTAAGCGAAAAACATATTCTTGTCCTTGTCTGGCAAAACATATGATTTGCTTCAAAATCGTTTGTGGTTATGTTTGATTGTCACTGCTTGTGTAGTGTCCGTACTCTTATAAACAAAAAACGTCAAAACAGCAGCGTCAAGTACATTTAGGAATTCTTGCTACACCATAAAATAACTTACCTATTCTGAATAAGTACGCTCCAGCACAAACGTTTATGATTTCCGTGTGCTTGCAAAGCTTCAAGAAAATCGGCTTCTCGAAATGACCAAACACTCTGATACTCTGTAACATATACAAAGCATCAGGCGGCATCCTCTCATCACTGAGAACGTCTTCTTGAAGGTACTCGGCAGGTGGCTCCAACACTTTCAACTGTTCTTGCTCGGTGTCTTTTTTGAGCTGTAAAATCCTTCTGGCAAATTTCATAACCATTTTCCGTTTCTTGCCCTGTCCGGAATTGCGTACTTGTCCCGATATATTTTTGACTTTACGTATCATCTTCCTGCCGTAAAAGAGCGCTTTGTCTCGTTTTCTGAAGCGAGTAGCTTCTTGTGCAACATTTTCCTTCTTTCTTGAAACTATAAGAGATATTTTGGATAATCAGTTCCACATCGATTTGCTGGAGGAATATACAGGCTGATCCACGGTGGATGGCCTATTAGAAGTATCTGGAGAACGAGAAGACAGAACATTCTGAAAATTGGGATGCTTTGATAATAATTGAACATTCTCTATCCGTCTAAAATATTTTCATCGATACAGTGTTGCCACTTCTATCAGAAACAACTAGCAACTTCGTTATTTCAACTAGAGCACCCTATATTTTATTGCATTTTTAGATTCTCCCTGAAAAGCTGATTTCATCAATGTACCACACTTGGGGTCTAGCAGGAATGATAACATAGATATAGGGTGTTCAAAATCGAGATTTTTCAATTTCAGGATTTTTTTGTGTCGAAAGTATTCATTATTGATCAAACGGCTTACATGTCCCTATCTTAACTTTCGATTCACTATCTACTGACATTTAATTGGAACAGATACAGGGTAATCAGAATTCTGAATCTTGAAACACCCTGTATTTTTTCCAATCAAATTCCAGTAGATAGTCAATCAAAAGTTAGGATAGGGACATGTAAGCCGTTTTGATCGATAATGAATAGTTTCGACACAAAAAAAAATCCTAAAATTGAAAAATCTCGATTTTGAACACCCTATATCTCTGTAATCATTCCTGCTATTCCCCAAGTGTGATACATTGATGAAATCAGCTCTTCATAAAGAATCTAAATATACAATAAAATTCAGGGTGTTCCATTTGAAATAACAAAGTTGCTAGTTGTTTCTGATAGAAGTGGCAACACTGTATCGATGAAAATATTCTAGACGGATAGAGAATGTTCAATAATCGAAGAAACCCAATTTTCAGGATGTTCTGTCTTTTCGTTCTCCAGATACTTCTAATAGGCCATCCACCGTGGATCACCCTGTATAGACATAATAACTGTTGTGAAAACAGCAACGCGATCATAGTAGCAGGAGAAGATGGAGTGCATACGCGCATATTATGTGACGTCATCTGGGATACCAATGACAGCTGCTAGTCAAAGACAGATACAGTTGCAATAGGCGTGCGCTATGAATTGAATAGATATTTCACTATGAGTTTGTCGATCTGTCTAGAAATAATTCAATTTATATAAATAGGTACCAATTCCTTCGATTTTACTATTTCATTGATAATGGAATTTATCATCTTGAGGTAATTCACAATCGCAAATAGCAAATACCTACGAATTATTACGCATTGCCAATCCCATCGAATGATCCGCCATTGTGTCAATTCTGACAGATTCAAATTCAGAAGTTGATGTTGCTTCTGCTTTGACATCGACAACAGGAGTCAGGAATATACACTCACCGGCAAAAAAAACCGGCCACCAAAAAATTTTGTCAAGTTGTTCGCCCTGTAACTCCTTTAGTTCTTGTCGGATTTTGGTGAAATTTTGATAAAATCGTAGATTCATGTTCTGGAATGTTAACCTGAATATGAATTCCCAAAAAAAGCTGATAGCTTGGTCATTATGCAGGGAAAAACAAGAGTTACTCATTTACACATTACTTCTTAACGCCCTGTGGCTGAAGTGAGTCGTTGAACTCCTCTTCATTATGTCTTGGATTGAAGAGTATTCTTTTCTCATCACAATAGTTTTTGATTCACGTCGATATCTCATTTTTTAGAAAAGATACGAGGGTTTTAAGAAAGTATGAAGTTCAAGTTTTATTAACAATCATCAGAACGTACATAAACTTATCGATCGACAACTTAAAAAAAAACATCTTAAAATCAATATGGCTTATTTCCACATTGTTTGCTTGGTATACTTTCCTTCGAAAATTGCTGTCGATTGACACTTCACTTCTACCGGCAAAAAAATACTGGTCACCCTCGATTATTTAAAATAAAATAGCAGGCTTGGACAATGGGCGTGTACCATGTTTATAATGATCCTTTCATACATAAATAATGATTGACGACATAATACGACGAAAAATTTACTGGAATGTTCAATTTTTGGACATAAATAATAGTACCATCTGTATCATTCATCTCTGTCTGGAATAGTCATCGCCTCGTTTTCACAGGTCCGAAAAATCGGGGATTTCAATAATTTTTTATAAAACGTAGGGAGCTCACAGCGATAAACGGTTTGCGGTGGTGAGCTAGTTTGGGTGAGTTCTATCGAATTATGGAATAAAAATTTTTTGTGATATAAGCCCATTGTCTGGAGTGATTTTGACAGTTAATCAATAATACAAATCAGCACCTTTTGTTTTAGTTCGTGATTCACGGTGGCATGTCATTATTGTTGTTAAGAAGAAAAACAACAGTTTTGGGGTAATAATAATGGCGTTAACTGTTGCGGATGTTGCTCAAGTGGTAGCTTTGCTTCAAAATGGTCACAGTCAACGTTATGTGTCTCGAACATTAGGAATACCTCGAACTGCAGTTCAATATGTCTGGAATCGTTTTCTGGCAGATTCGAAAGGCGTGCTGGATCCGGAAGAAGAAGAGCAACAAGTAGGGTTGATGATCGTTTTGTTGCGCTTAGATCGTTCAGGAATCGCCGAAAAACAGCTGTTCAGCTTCAACATGAATTGCACGCTGTTCGAGGTGTTGATGTTAGTGAAAGAACCATCAGGCGGAGGCTTGGAGAATATGGTTTGGCATCGAAGAGACCTGCTACAGGACCGCAGTTGCTACCTAGGCATCGTAGAACACGACTACAGTTTGCACGGTTACATGCAAATTGGAGGTTCAGTTATGGCGTGGGCAGGCATTTCTACAGACCTCGTATTTGTGGAAAATAGTGCTTTGAACGCCCACAGATATGTGGAGGATATTTTACAAGAAGCTGTCGTCCCATATCCCCATTTTATTGGATGCATTACAACGCCAGACCACACGTTGCTCTAATTGTAACCGAGTAACCGAATGAGGTTGGAATTCTAAGGCTTGACTGGCCAACATGCAGCCCGGATCTCAATCCTATAGAGCATCTTTGGGATGAACTACAGAGGCGCATTCGTCTACGTCCCGCATTGCCAGAGACTCTTCAAGAGCTACGATTCGCCCTTCAAGAAGAATTTTAGGCAATTCCTCAAGACTGCTTGAGAAATCTGATCAACTCGATGCCACGGCGATTAAATGCTGTAATTCAAGCTCGAGGAGGGCATACTCGGTATTGAATACATCTAGGAGATCTACTTTTCGTTTGTTTTTTGTAATTTTTTGTGTAGGTGTATCTACGTTCTGATTATTGTTAATAAAACTTGAATAACTCCATACTTTCTTAAAACCTCGTATATTTTCTAAAAAATGAAATATCGACGTGAATAAAAAACTATTGTGATGAGAAAAGAATACTCTTCAATCCAAGACATAATGAAGAGGAGTTCAACCACTCACTTCAGCCACAGGGCGTTAAGAAGTTATGGGTTAATGAGTAACTCTTGTTTTTCCCTGTATAATGATCAAGCTATCAGCTTTTTTGGGAATTCATATTCAGGTTAACATTCCGGAACATGAATCTACGATTTGATCAAAATTAAGAAGTTACAGGGCGAACAACTTGACTAAATTTTTTGGTGGCCGTTTTTTTCACCGGTGAGTGTAGTTTTTGCTGCAATTCAAATGAAAAATTGAGTCCTTTGAATTAATTTTCATTTATTTCTAACTTAATATTCGACGAAAGATGTTCTGTAGCAATTGATTTTTCTTTCAAATATTTGTTTTTTTGGAGGTGTTTAATATTCGAGTGGACTAATTTCTTTTCATTTTCCTAAATAGAATCATCACTCAAATACCTTTCAATTTCACATTTTTTTTTAGTATTTTTCGGTCGATTTTAAGATGTCGAAATCATCAATAATGTCACGATGATTTTCAAACGGCTAGAAATTTACCGCGAGTATAAACTGACGTAGTACGTATGGGCAGACCATAGCACAGTTGCCATATGTTGAAATACGATTGGGAACTTCAGGAATATTATTAATTCAATAATCCATAAATTCTCAATTATGTATTGGTAATATTCCTAATCAGCATTAAAAATTCAATTGTCTCAAAATGTGCTGTGGCTTATTGGTTATAAAACATTTGTGTAAATAATAATGATAGTAATTCACACTAAAAGACATTCGAACCAGTAAACGCTAAGATAAACGTGACAACAATGGGGCACAAATTGTGGTCGTGGTCTTGTCAGTTCTCAGCATTCAGTACAATATTGCCAAGTCTCCATATTCACATGATATTTTGTTATGGAGTATGAGAAATATTTGGACATGCTGGTTGCTCGAAAAAGTCAAGAATGAACTATAATATTATGGGTTTCTCCTATTATGTTTTATTCAACGATATGACTCTAACAACTTTACGATAACATGATTATAAACTGGTGACTTGGAAACCTTGCTGCATGAGTGGGAATGAAAGATTATCTGACTAATAACGAAACATCATAAAAATTGACGTCACTATCATATCGCCGAATGGCGGCCATGTCGGTACGTATTTCAACAATTTCGAACAATGCATATTTACATAAAAATAGCGTGAGAAGTGCTGCAAGAATTAGTCCACTTGCCCAATCAACTTCCAAACTTGTTTGATAAAGTTTTGCATGGAAGTGTTGCGAACAGATACTTGCTGGAATATGAATGTGACAACATGATAGGTAAATACTTTGGAATGAGGATATGAGGAATATCGACAGCAAGCTTCCACTCATATTTTCATTATTCATGGAAAAACAGAAATATTCAATTACTATGCCATTCGTATAATAATAATAATAATTAATATATACGTAATTTTTCTTCTTTTCATAAAATCAAATTTCACTTCAGAAAAAAATTAATAAAAGAGAAACTTGGCTCCTCCACCATTCCTATGATGTCCTTCCTGAAAATCCACATTCACACAGACTTGATTCCCTATGCCAGTACGACGTTGCCGACATCATCAATATGTCTAGATTTCCGGAAATTGTTCTTTGATTGCATAATAACTATATCATAACAGCAATGGATTATAATAGGTTCTTATTCAATCCTACTTCGTCAAGTATTATGAATAATTCCCATAAATCTCTCATTGGCTGAATGAAGTTGATTACTAAAAAGGTAAATTATGATATTTTGCGATAGTATATATAATTTTTCACAATCGTTATATTACAATATGTTATTCATAACTCGTCATTTTTTGCTAATGAATTTGTCCCTTAATAAAACGGATCTATTTTCTAAGAAAGTTGCAAATTATATCATGCAACAGCGCCCTAAGGAAGGAGCCATGGGTGTCGGCTTCATTCTGTTCTGACCGATGGCAGTAAATTAGGAAGGATAGTATCATTGAATGTAGCCGATAGTGATTTATTGATTCAATGATATTTTCGTTAAGGATCGAGCTCTATTCTAGACATTTCAATGCATAAATAACAAAACCATAACCTGTCAGCCAACACCCCATTTGTGGTTTTGTATGTTTTTGTTTACCAGTTTTACTTCTTCTATTTTTTTCAATCGTTTTTCATTAGTTAGCTATTCGCCAGGTATATTCTTTACCATCAGCTATTTTTTGACTAGATTCAGAAATTTCGTCACAGTTTGCCGCCCCAAAAATGAGAAATTGCTTCATTTCGAAAATAAAAACGACTTGGACTTTATCGGTCGCGATTTTGTACAGTGTGGACATGAAACTGGAGAGTTCTGAACTTATTTTAGGAAAATTCATCTGAAGGACACCTCCCCATTGGCTGAATTGACTTGTGTCCTGAAAAGACTATTTGCATTGTAAGGACAAACTGGGAAATCAATTGATCTCTGCCTTGGAGTGGCGTTTTCAAGACATTCAAGGAGGAGGAGAATACATGTTCTGGGTAATAAACCTGAACAATAAAGTAGATGAGTAGCTAGGTACTTGAAGATACATATCTTACTAATAATTACAAAAATTTTAATAAAATGAAAAGTTAAATATTCGCGGTAGTCAGGGTCATCATCTGACGCGATGACATGAAAACTATAGGAAAACATTCTCAACTCCTTATCAAGATTGAATGTTAGACATGTTTTCCCTCGTGCTTCCCCATAGTTTTTATGTCATCACAAAGTCAGATGATGACCTTGACTACCGCTTATTGATTTGAATAGAAGTTATTGGATTGTCTTTATTACCCCAAGAAACATTATTGTTTATAATAGGGATATATACAACAAAACATACATATAACATAATAAATCAAAACAATAATAATTGCACAATCATTGTTTTTGATGAAAAAAAAAAATATAACTAAATATAAAATGAAAATATTATAATCCATTCCAAGTAATCAAATTGTGAATGATTCATATCTAATGAGATTAAAGTTTACTGAGCAGATATTTCTTCAAATTGATTTTAAATTTGTTTACTTCTTCTATATTTTTCAGCTCATTAGGTAAGGAGTTATACAAAATCATTCCATTATGGAATATTGATTGTTTTTCCAAAATTTGACTCATAATTATTTGCTATCAATAAATTGAATTGCCTTGTTTCATGGGCGTGACTCTTATCAACTTCATTAAAATTGAAATTTGATATTTTCAATTTATTCAAAATGAATAAAACAACAAATTTTGAGTTTATATAATGAAACTAGATTCAGCAAGTCTTTAGGTTTGTATAGATTTACAGTTGATTCTAAAAAAGGTAAATTGAAAATGCACTTTATTGTTTTATTTTGTAATTTCATGAGTGGCTTCAAGAATGCAATATTTGTACTTCCTCAAATAGATATTAGATATTGTAAAGTTGAATAGGTAAGACAGAAATAAATACTCTTAAGATATCTAACAGGAATAAAATTTTGAATTTTATATATAAAACCAGCAATACCAAATTATTTTTAATATCATTATTGATATGGTTAAAATCTTTTGAAGTATAGATTATTGTTTTATCATCTGCAAATAATTTTAGTTTTCCTTTCAATTGTAAAGTAGATATTGAGTTAATGTAAATTAAAAATAAAATTGGCCCCAAAATGACCCTTGAAAAAGTAGTAGGGAAGGATCATTCTTACTACCCATAGCCTATTGTATGCTCATCAGGGATAATAATAAGGGTTTCTATGGGTTTCTAATAGTGAAAGAATTTTGAATATTGAGACTTGAACAAATTGACTGACATGGAAATTTGCAGGTTCCTATTAGAAAGACAATTAATAAAACCATTGCAAAACTTATCACCATAACATTATTAGTACATTGTATCAACAGTTTAACTAGGGATTTAGGAATTCAGTGAGCTACTCAGTGTATTATAAGACTCAGGAGAGGTCAGTTTTTCTAATTATAACCAAGTTCCACTGATCAATTTCAAATAAAATTTGATTTCATTATTCTAATTGATTCTTATAGATAAGAAACTATTGCCCCATATATCAAACATTGTAGTGAAAACTGTATTATATACATGAATCAATTTGAATGGGCATATTATTCCTACAAAGATAATTATCTTGCTTGAGAGTTGTTCAAGGTGAGGTCTAAGTCACCCCACATTTATGACTATTTTTGTTTCATTATTTCATCTAGAAATATGACTTGTGATATTCACATGTGATCTGATTATGGATCATTCTTTTCAATCAAATCACAGAAAAAGATTCAATTCCACCCTGGTGCCAATACACTTTCTCATGCTATAAAAGTACCTTCTGCTATTATGAGTATTTAGGTCCAAGTGGACATAATTTGAGAATCATGGTACTTACATTTTCTCCAACATTTTTTTATGCATATTGCTAAACAGGTGATCAGAACTGCTATTATTCCAATGACTAATAAATAGAACACCTGAAATCAGAAAGAGAAATAAGAACCTATGTACCTATCAATGATACTTGATAACAATTAATGCTAAACAATATGTTTGATTGAGCTGATAGAAAATATCTAAACACAAAAAAGAATATCATTCTGTACTGTTTAGTTCCTATGTTTGATTATTTTCTATTTAATAAGAACGAAATGGATTGTATCCAATCAACAATCGAAAATGAACATCATTCTATTGTTTATAGTCCATTATAATATTAAAATTTCAAAATTTAAGTATGCCCACCTTATATGTTTCTTGAAGTTGAATTGAGAGATTTCCTATCCATGTGGATTTGCTGATAATTCCCAAATCGGAATTGAAATTCTTGATTGCACTTAAAACATCCATTTCATATAATTCATTATTCAAATAACTATCTAATGACTTTTTTATTTTCCTTCATTATTCATTTCGTTTGTGTTCATAATTTCATAATAATCATTTCAAAACACCAGTCAGTCTGACGTCAAAAACAGATGACAATGACGTCAGTGACAGCAGTCTCTCTATGACAGATACGATTTGATACGATGATGACACTGTTGACAGATTGTCTACCATAGATTATTGCCAACCGTAAGAAACGAAAGTCTCAGAATAATAAGAAAAATAAGGCTCGTTCGATAACTCGATAACGACGATTACCAGAAGAACGGATTGTTGAGAATAATGAACAAGTGTAATCGTCTGAATGGATAGGAATCTAACTATCTCTGAACAATGATGGAAGATTCTCTGAACTATAGACCCTGACTAGACCATGACCATGAGTCCTTGTAATGAACTGTCTATGGAAATATTATCATCGTAAACGTGAAGAATTGGAAGATGCGCATGCGTATCTGTCAATTTTTACGTTCACATTAAAGTTTAAGTTCATGACAACTCAACTCACTCAAAATGAACACATAGCACTGAGAATACTGAGATAGCACAAAGTAGGGTCCCTTGATGGAAATTGACGTTAAAGTCATCTTAGATGACCCTAGCACAAAGGTTCTTGTGGCGAACGACAGAACACAAATTCATGAGAAACAATAAGTTTGATACGGCTATGATAATTTTTATGATTCAAAATTCAGAAAACCAACCAATTACAGCAACTCTTTTCCACACGGAGTCACATCATCGTGAATTTGAAGAAAAAATTGTTAAAAGTGGATAAAAATAGCACATTGTCGGGCGGCTTATCCACGGTCGAAAATAAATACCCAACACAGAACAGTAATTTTGGCACAGAACCATATATCTCAGCTTCTACTCACAGAGGTCTCTAGTAGTTTCCGATTTGTGATTTGTTGGCATTTCGCATTTCATGATTTCATTTCATGTTTGTTAAAATGGCTGCGAATAATTATTTTGGTTTTACTCATGGTGGAACACAATATAGGTATAATTTTTAAACATTTCTAGATTTATATAATTTGAAGCTAGTGCAGTATTCAATTTTTACCCATCCAGTATTTAGTGCTAATCTGAAAAGAAACGCTAAACCGGTGTTGCTTATGAACCTTCAACATTGTGTAGGATCAATATATCTTTTGATCAACATAACATTCTCCTGTCATCGTTGGGCTTCTTCAAAATTAGTTTCACTTCAGAAGCTTCACATATTGCGCAGTATTGACGTTCCCTACTATTCATCTTGCATTCATCTGTTATAGTGCTGCTACTGGAGCTGCCTATCAAACTGGCCAAGCTGGATATGCTGTAGCAACTCCAGCTACTGCAGCTGCTACCTACGGAACCCAAAGAGCTGGATACGATCAAGCTTATCAAGCAGCAGCAGCAGCTTCACAAGGTACCTATGCTGCTGTTGGTGCAGGTGCAACTCAAGCCTATGAATATGGATATGGTAAGTTTAATTACTTATAGTGGTGCTCTCTTTGATTCACTAGAGAGAATCTGCATATTTTGTCAAATTAGTTATTCAATAACATATTCAAGACTGTAAAGTTATCAGATCAACATTAATGATGATACAATGCAAGGATCATAAAATCTGTCCATGGGAATTTTTAGTTTCAGTTTGAGTATGATTTGAAAATGAAGCTCATGTTCATATTGTTTGAAACAGAGTGTGTTATTTTCATAAATTTCATATTATATTTTTCTTTTTTGTAGGACAACCTACAGCTGCAGGTTACACAACTGCATATGATCAAGCTGCAGCTGCTGCTGCTGCAGCTGTTAAACCTGCAACTTATGCAACCACATACACACAAAGACCACAGCAAACAGCACAAGTAGTGGTGAGTTCAATAATGGTAATATTATAGGAGGGTTATAATTCTTCAATTCAATTAGTACTACAACTGAAAAATCTTAGGCATTCTGTCATGTTTATTCAAAATCTTGGGGAAGTTTGTTGAAATTTAGTCCCTTGGTATTCAACAGAATTCTAGAATTTTTTCTTTGGGAAAAGCCAGTGTTCACATGCAATGCAAAAACATGAGGATAAATACAAGCCTAGTAGTTTTATAGAAAATTTAATCAACTGAGGAGCATATGAAATAACTTTTTTGTTAGTATTGTTACAATATGATGCTACTGACATTTAATATGGTCATATCAATAATGATCTATAACATTTTTTTTTTCTTAAAATGCTATAGAGCTAATTTCATTTTGTGGATTACAGTTATAGTATACCAACAATATTTTTGGATGAATTGATCAACTTTCATTCATTTTATAGAATACAATTATTATATTTCATTGAACAGTGAATATGAAATTATAAAAATTGTAATTATAATGAGACTTTTATTGAATAGAATTCTTCTGCCATTGATTCATTGTCATCATATGAGTTAGTTTTTTTTGTTTAACAGTGAATGACCATCTATGACATTGAAACCAATTCATATTTGGTCATAATTTGAGAAAGGAAAAAACAAGGCTAACATCAGGTCAAAAATTAAGGACACATTTCTTTCAAAAAATGAAAGAAGAATAATCCTATATTGTGTATCATTAAAACCACATGCTTAGTGTTTTAATACTTTTAATAGTCCAAAGTAAATCAGAAGCACATCTCCATTATAATATGTCGCTTGGAGCCTCTACCATTTCTGGCGGTAACTGCCTGACTGGAGACACTTGACATTGACATATAAACAATTCTGACAGACATGTCTTTTAGCGGTGTTGCCAACACAACTAAACATTAGGAACTACTTGACCACAACCTACGACATAGACTTATGACACATCTCCTTTCTTAAACTAACAATAATATATTATAAATCAAGCTTAGCTGGTTTTTTGATAGCACGCCCTGATCTAGATTTTGGTAAATTGACAATAGGTTGGGATTGTTGGGAACATACGGATTCGCTACTGGATTGAACATTTGGAAGCTTATATTGGACATTATCATTTTTTATATTTGACTTACATCCAAGGGGTATAGTCTGTACGTCAGGATCAGACATATTTTTAGAATCCACAACATCAAAATCTAAAGCTGATTGTTGGGGTCGATAAACATTAGTTGACTCCTTCAAATCAAACCTATTTCTTGTGACCAATTTGCCATGACTATCTAAAACCTCATAAGACCTTGGATTTTTAGTATGGTTGACTATTTGACCAGGTTCCCAAGTTTTAGTAATATGATTGTAGACTGTTACATTTTGTTCAGGTTCTAGAGGTTTCAAATTAGTGGCAGTTTTATTGAAATAATTCTCATTACGACATTGCCTTGACATAAGTCCTTCAGTGACATTTTCACACAACACAGGTTTCAATAAATCTGCTGAAACAGGCAATTTAGTCTTACACATACGACTCATAAGTAACTGTGAGGGTGAATAACCTAAAAATTTCAGAGGGGAATTCCTATATTGTAATAAGGCCTCAAATATATCTTTGCCCTCCTCCAAAGATTTTTTCAATAAATTTTTGGCAATACCAACGGCCTTTTCTGCCAGACCATTTGATCTCGGATAATTTGGACTACGGAATACAATGTTGAAATTCCACTCGTTTGCAAAATTCTTGAAAGAAAAACTATTAAATGGGATGTTATCACACACTAATGTCTCAGGGCTACCAAATTTGGCAAAAATTGCCTTGCATTTTTTAATACATTCAATAGCAGATTTGTCTTTTAGTAATATGACTTCTAGCCAGTTTGAATAGGCGTCCATAACAACAAGATATGACCTTCCACCATAGGAAAAAATGTCTGCTCCTATCCTTTCCCAAGGACGTTCTGGAATTGGATAAGACTGAAGAATTTGTTTCTTATTCTTCCTGGCGAATTTTTCACAAATCTTGCATTCCTTAATGAAATTCTCTATGTCTTGACTCATAAGGGGCCAATAAAAAATTTGTCTTGCACGAGCTTTAATTTTTTCGATACCGAAGTGACCTTCATGAAGCTTTGTAAGCATATCTTTCCTCAGACCTTGAGGCACCACTAATTTTGCATTAAAAAACAAAAGATCATCAGAGACAGAGAGTTCATCCTTTAGTTTATAAAAGTGACGTGCAAAAATTGGAATTTGATTCTTACTGATAGGCCAGCCAGTTTGGATATACTTAATTACAGACTGCAGGTTCTCATCATTTTTTGTTGTTAATTTAAACAAATTCTTTTTTTCCTCAGATCGGTAAATAATTTGTGAGGGAGTGGACATTATAATCTAAATTTAAATCATATTGTGAGCTACCCGAGTTTGTGAGAAAAGCACGAGACAACGTATCCGCAATAAACAAATACTTTCCTGGCTTATAAGTCACTTTCACGTCATATTTAAGTAGCTGAAGTAACATGCGTTGGAGTCTAGGAGATACTGAGTGTAGACTTTTTTTAAAAATTGATTCTAATGGCTTATGGTCAGAGTGGACTTTTACATTTTTGACACCATAAATGAAATAATGGAACTTCTGGCAACTAAACAAAATTGCCAAGAGTTCCTTCTCTATTTGCGCATAATTCACCTCGCTTTTTGTGAGGCTTCTGGAGGCAAAAGCAATTGGATGCCCATTTTGCAATAAACAGGAACCCATGCCATCCTTTGATGAGTCTGTTTCAATTTCTAATGGCAGAGAAGAATCAAAAAATGCTAATACCGGTGCTCTTGTCAATAAATGTTTTAATTGCCTTAATGAACTATCATGTTCATCAGTCCAATGCCACTCAACGTCCTGACGAGTCAAATTTCAGAGATGCTGTCACTTTTGACATATTTGGTACAAATTTTGCCAGAAATTTCGCCATGCCAAGTAATCTCAAAAGTTCAGTTCTGTTTTGAGGTTTGGGCATGTCTATAATGGCAGTAATATGAGTCTGACTGGGTTTGACACCATCCTTTGAAAATACTTGGCCTAAGAATTTTACTTCTTTAGATTTAAATTGAATTTTATCACGATTAAACTTTACATTATATTTCAGAGCTCTATCAAGAACTAACTTCAAATTCTTGTCATGCTCAACCTCATTTTCACCTGATATAATTAAATCATCAAAATACAATTCAACACCATTAATGTCTCCAAAAAGTTCAAAATTTTTCCTCTGAAACACTTCAGGTGCTGAGCTTATTCCAAATGGCAGCCGACGAAATTGGTACCGGCCAAATGGTGTTCCAAATGTGCAATAATCAGCTGATTGATTGTCTATCTTAATCTGGAAATATCCATCTTTCATGTCTAAGACAGTGAAAAAGGATTTATGGATCAACTTACTAGCAATTTCGTCAGCTGTTGGGATCAGAAAATGTTCTCGCTGTATATTCTCATTCAAAAATTTTGGATCAAGGCATAACCTCAAATCTCCATTATTTTTCTCCACAATTACCAAAGGGTTCAACCATTCTGTTGGTTTTTCAACCTTATCAATGATGCCTTGCTTCTCAAGGTCATCCAACTTTAGTTTAACTTTATTATGGAGAGCTTGAGGTATACGCCTGACAGGTTCAATATGTGGAACTGCATCTTTCTTTAAAATTATTCTATGTTCAGTTGGAAACTGGCCTAACCCAGTGAATAATTCAGGGTATAGCTTTTCAATATCAGATACAGTCTCAAATTTTGCACTATGTACACTGTCAACTCTTTTCAACAATTTTAAATCTAAACATCCTGACAAACCTAGCAAAGGCACTTGGTTATTATTGTCAACTACAACAAAAGGTAAACAAGCAAACTTATTATCTACTGTACAATTAAGTGTAACTTCTCCAATGGGTTTGATCTTGAAGTCAGAACTGCCATAAGAGACCAAAGTGACATGAGTGTTCTTCAATCCATCCAGTTTGCCTACATTCTTGTAAATATCCAATGGAAGAACACTCACCTCAGCTCCAGTGTCGAGTTTGAATTGTACAGGTTTACCTTCAACATTGATTTTCTTCATCCATGTAAGCTCAGTCATGGACCTGAGTCCATCAATATTTTTTACTAGTGAACTCACGAAGAAATCTTCACTATCTTCTTCATCTTCAGAGTTGTCTTCTACCATAACTTCATTAACCTTCTTTCCTTTCTTCTTACCCAAACTTTCTTTCTTCCTGCAGACACTAGCAAAGTGATTTCGACCATTACATTCATTGCAAACTTCACCATAGGCAGGGCACTTGCCTTTGGTGTGCATGTAACCACAGAAGGCACACTTTATCTTCTCCTGTTTGTTCTTGTCAAAGTTCTTCTTAGTTCTGAGTGCACTAACAGTTGCTTCATTTTGGAAAGCTTGAGCTTGAGATTTACTGGCCTCCACAGCTCTACAGTAATCTATGGTCCTTTTCAAAGTCAAATTTGACTCTCTCAGCATCCTTTCTTGAGTTGACTTATCCTGGATACCCATCACAACCCTGTCCCTTATCATATCATCAGCATCTTTGTATTCTGTTGATTTAACAGCAATTTTTAGCTCAGTCACAAAACTATCAAAACTCTGTCCCTCCTTCTGTACTATTGAGTTGAAAACATATCTCTCAAAGATCACATTCTTGAGAGGGGCACAATGAGCTGCAAATTTAGCTTTGATTGCAATCAGAGAACCCTTTTCAGCTTCTGTCAAGGTGAAAGAGTTATATATGTCCAATCCTTCCTCACCAATTATGCTCAATAGAACGGCTATTTTGTTAGCATCAGGTTTTTCACTCAATCCTGTGGCCAACATAAACAAATCAAACCTTTGTTCAAATTTTCTCCAGTTATCAGCAACATTCCCTTGCACATTCAGTGACTCTGGGGCTTTGAATAACGATTCCATGGCTCTCCGGGGTACAAATCCAATAATCCAAGTTTCAATCCAGGACACCTGACACCATGTATCATTAAAACCACATGCTTAGTGTTTTAATACTTTTAATAGTCCAAAGTAAATCAGAAGCACATCTCCATTATAATATGTCGCTTGGAGCCTCTACCATTTCTGGCGGTAACTGCCTGACTGGAGACACTTGACATTGACATATAAACAATTCTGACAGACATGTCTTTTAGCGGTGTTGCCAACACAACTAAACATTAGGAACTACTTGACCACAACCTACGACATAGACTTATGACACATATTGTACATATACATCAAATATTATTCTATATTCACATATACTCAGTTGAATTAACTATCTCATAAATATTTGGGGATCTTGTTCCAAAAATAGTTTCAAAAAAATTTCTGTTCTATATAAAAAGGCATTGAAAGTATTGAATTGTCTTCCATATGAAACTCCAAAGAATCAACTGTATAAGGAAACAAACACATTTTCTTTGGAAATTTCCTATTATATCATCAACAAGAAGCTTAAATCAAATTTTATATTATTCAGGAATTCCGAAATTCATGATCATCACACTAGACAATATAACTTGTTTCATCTTGAAGCTGCAAATTCTAAACTTGGGCAAAAAAAGTTTACACATGAGGCAATTTTGAAATTCAATAAATAACCAGATGATATCAAAAACAGCCCAAATATTATGCAATTCAAAAATAAAGTGAAGAAATATATTTATATGCAAAGGAATGATCAAAGCTGAAAGACTATGAATTTCCTTTTTTTTTTCACTGTTTTTATTTTCCCCCTTCTTGTTCACTATAATATGACTGTTATTTTGAGATATCTTGATGATAATTATGTAAGTTTTGTTCACTATTTGTAATTTCAATTATACAACAGTGGATAATACTTCATGAATGATCTTATACCAGGAATGTCTGATCATTCATGTCATTCCTACTAGAAAATTAATTATACTTTATACAGTGTGACCCATTTTAAATGGAACCACCCCTGTATCTTACGTAATCGTTGGGTAAGGATCCTGAAATTTGCTGGAGCGAGAGATATACCAAAAATGCACTCTATGACCAAGTGGGGTCATCTTCAGTGATACACTGCTTGCCAACAGCCATGAAACTACCCCATTTCCGGAAAATGATATTAGGAGTCAAAATAGGTCGAAAATCACTTCAGATTTGGAATCAGGACGCCCAATTTACTAACTATTCAAATTTTTCCTGGAAAATTTTCAGTTCGGAAAAATGAAATTTTGTCGCATTTTTTATGGAAGCACTTCCCTATCTCACGTAATTATTGAGGTAGGGTTCTGAAATTTGCCGGAGGAAGAGAAAGTCCAAAGATAAAGTCAATTTTCAACATTCCAATTTTCATCCCTCTGTATAGGGCATGAGAATTCATTGAACATATATATTTTATTTTTGTCATGTGATCAAATTTGAGTTCAGAAAAAAATCGTGAAGATATAGTTTTCGCTCCTCCCATTTTTAGGACATACAACTAAAAAAGCCATGTATGCACAGCTAAAAATGCCAGCTGTTTTACTCCAGTACGGTGTTACAAGATTTATCAGTGAATCTATTGATTCTAACATAGTTAGCAATGGTGCCTGAAATGACATATTCAAGAAATCAATAATATGGGTGGAAATTGGATTATTTCTTGGAATTATATACCAAATACCTGATGAAATGGGAATTATAGATGAAACATTATTAGAATAGCAATAAATGATGTATTCAACAAATAGTATGGGTGGAAATTGGATTATTTCTCAAAATTATTTACAGAATACCTGCTGAAATGGGAATTATACATGAACCATAAATATTAAAATAAAATAACATAATAATAATTGAACATCATAAAATTATGGGTATATACCTCGGTATATACATAGTAATAATGATTCAGACAGCTGGTTTTTAAGGTTGATCATTCTGAATTGAATTTCTGTGGTTGGAGAGATATTTCAATATTTCCAAGAAATTGACAACAATGGTGTTAATCCTGATTTACATCATACTGAAATGTATTCCTCTTATGTTTTTGTTGAAGGTTTTAGGTTAGACCATACTGACAGCATTTATCTTATTCTTATTTTTGGGTACTCAGGTGTGAAGGAAATAAGTCAAGAAACTTATCATAGTCAAATATCCTCAAATGTCACTAGATGTAGGAAGTATATCATAGTCTGTTTCATTACAAATTCCAATTTGCTGTATTTTTGAAATTGAAATAATTTGAATAATTTGAAGAGCCATTTTAGACATCAGCAATCTGATACTATGTAGTTGAATAATAATTTTATGTGAATTAGTTGGAAACTTCTTCATTGCAGCTTTCCCAGTGTATATTTTTCCTTTTCACATTTTTAAAGCATAATTTTATCCTTTTATTTGAAAAAAGTTGAATTATTTATTGTTATCTTTGTAGACTGCTGCAAAACCAGCCCAGTATACAGCCTCTTACCAGGCAAATCCAACAGGTTATCAGGCCACATATGCTCAACCAGTTGTACAGACTACTACCCATGCAACAACACAAGCTAAACGTAAGTCATTGTCTGTTTTATGTTTTTTTGAAATGTTGTTATTAGAGAAAGCAAAAAATAGATCAGGATCATTAGTCCATAATTTCTTTATTCAGACCATACTTCTAAATAAATATTATTTCAAAAGATGAAAATTTAAACTTTATAATGGTATATATTTACAATCACCAGAGCTTTCTTGATTAGATTAGAAATCTTATATCATTTTATCAATTTTCTTCACGAGGATTTTAAATAACAATTCTAATATTTTCAAAATTTTTATGATTTTCACAATTTTTATCTATTTAAAAACCAATGGATATTTATTTGTAAAAACTTCACAACCGATAAGATTTCCACAAAATTTTGTTATCAAATGAGAAATAACTGACCACTCACAAGGAAACTGGAAGTTGATTTTATCTTTGGAACTAGTAGGCACTCAAATAAGCCTGAAACATCTGGTGGAACAAAGAGTTAGACCAGTTGAATCATTATTTCAAATAATGTCAAGATACCAATTTCCAGAGACATTACTAAATAGTGTTGGATTTATTCTGACTTTGTTTACATATTTGACATAGCCATGAAATAAGCACTACTTTTTTGAAATTCAATTCTAAATTTCTTACCATTCCTAAGATCCCTGTACACCACCCCATAGAAATCCAGTATATATTAAATGAAATTTAACCCTGTTTCCCCACATCTACCTCTTCTGCCTCACCTAGAGAAGATTCCTTTTTGATAAATTTTTGTTCTACATCTATTGTGTAAGGCCAAAAAGTATTTGATTTGGTTATTTTGGAAACCATGCACAATCAACTTCAATCACTTATGTATGCTTTTGTTGAATGACCTTTCAATAGCATGATCTATTCAGAACTCCTTTACATCAGACCAGACCAGATCGGCCCGAAATATTTCAGCGAATATCAGCGCACAGAACGTGGATATGTGCCGGATTCAGTTCGTTCAGAAGTTTCATCTATGTGTGGTTTGTCTGAAGAAAATTTTCCCGATATTTTTCAGTCTTCCAGTAGGGTGTTTGCGGGAAAGTGAAAATGAAAAATGGATTTTTTTATTGCTATGATTTTAGAAGAAGAACATGATGATGATGATGAGTATTTATTATTAGTATGTACTAAAAAAAAATAAAGTTCTGAACATGTTCGAGGAAGGGGCCAATGAAGGTGTTTATGATCTTTGGGATAATGATATAAAATTCAGAGAATTTTTCCGTTTAACCATCACTATTCCATGATCTACTGAATCATATAAGTCAAGTCAAAAATAGGAAAATCTAAAAAGTAATATTTTATTTTTGTATACACTACACTATTTCGGCGAACTGTGCCGTTTTGAAATCGTTCAAACTTAACAATGGTTTGATTCCGACAAAGTGCTATCCGTTCACTTTCCCGAAATTTCGGTCCGATCTTTATACAAACCGCCACTACGTACTACAAATACGCTTGGTTTCACCGGAAACGCTAACGAACTTTCTGTGCTTTATCACCGAAATATTTCGGGCCGATCTGGTCAGAGAAACCAGGGGTTAAGACAAGTTATTACCTGGAAATTGAGAATATCATTGATAATCTGGATGTTCGAAAATGCTGTGGATTTGATTATATTACTGTTAAGATTGTAAAAGTAATCAAATTTGAGTTAGCTCTTATTTTATTAAACATAATTTCCGAATCGCTCAAAACTGGTATTATTCCTGACAAAATGAAAATTGCTAAAGTATTACCAATTCACAAAAATGGGAAGAAAGATGATTTAAATAATTATAGACCAATTTCTGTTCTCCCGATCTTTTCCAAAATTTTTGATAAAATTATGAATAACCGTCTAATAAATTATTTTGAAAATAATGGCCTATTGTTTAGTGAACAATATGGATTTCGTAGGTCAAAAGACACAGAGGTAGCTGTGATGGATGTCATTTCAGATATTCAGTTACGAATAGATGACAATGACAAATGCGGCATTCTGTCTCTGGATCTCTGTAAGGCCTTTGACACTGTAAATCATAATATTTTATTGACTAAATTATCATCAATAGGTGTCAGAGGCAAAATTCATGATTGGTTCCAAAATTATTTGAAGAATAGGAAACAGTATGTTGATGTGAATAATACTTGTAGTTCCTTGATGAATATTACATGTGGTGTGCCGCAAGGATCAGTTTTGGGGCCAATTTTATTTTTAATCTATATAAACTCAATATCTACTATAAAATTGTAAGGAAACCTGAAATTATTTGATGATGATACAACAATAATCTATACTTCAAAAGATTTCAACGATATCAATAATGATATTAAAAATGATTTGAAACAAATATCATCTTGGCTAACCATCAATAAGTTGACTCTTAATTATAGTAAATCTACGTATATGTACATCTCAGAAAGAACAACGGATATATTGAATAATACCTCAATATGTTTCAATAACAAATCCATTGAATATACAAATGTAACAACATTTTTAGGTCTATATATAGATGAACAACTATCGTGGACTCTACATATAGATCAATTGAGGAAAAAATTGAATCCTATTGCTGGTATTATATATAAAATTCGATATTTCATTCCTTTTAAATACCTAAAGAGTATTTATTTCTGTCTTTTTTATTCAAATTTACAATATCTAATACCTATTTGGGGAAGTACAAATATTTCAGTTTGAAGCCACTCATGAAATTACAAAATAAAATAAAGTGCATTTTCAATTTACTTTTTTTAGAATCAACTGCGAATCTATACAAACCTAAAGACTTGCTGAATCTAGTTTCATTATATAAACTCAAAATTTGTTGTTTTATTCATTTTGTCAGGAAGGAATTGAAAATATCGAATTTGAATTTTAATGAAGTTGATACGATTCACGCCCATGAAACAAGGCAATTCAATTTATTGATAGCAAATAATTATAAGTCAAATTTTGGTAAACAATCAATATTCCATAATGGAATAATTTTGTATAACTCCTTACCTAATGAGTTGAAAAATATAGAAGAAGCAGAAAAATTTAAAATGAAATTACAGAAATATCTGCTCAGTAAACTTTAATTCCATATCTACTTAGTAAACTTTAATTCCAAATCTACTAATAGTACTAATCATTCACAATTTGATTACTTGTAATGGATTATAATATTTTCATTTTATATTTTATTATAATTTTTTTTTTTTAGGAAAAACAATAATTGTGCAATTATTATTGTTTCGATTTATTATGTTTTATATGTATGTTTTGTTGTATATATCCCTATTATGAAAAATAATGTTTCTTGGGGTAATAAAGACAATCAATCAAATATAATATGATCAGAATAAAGATAGTGATAATATCAATGATAATCTTAATGATGATAATAGTAACAATGAGAGAAATAGTAATATTTTACTGATAATAATGATTATTATTGGTTGTTACAATTGCTATCCAGGTATTGACAATAGGCAAGGACACAAATCCGTGAATTTAATTTAAATGTGCATATAATTGAATTATTGTAGTAACAACATGAATGCATCATTTTTTTGATAAAATATGCTGTGATATTTCAAAAAACACCATTTAAATACCCTACAATTTCATGGAACGTTCGAACATAGCATTTGGCTGCGCCAGTACTGATGTGATAATCCCTTTCCCTGTGTTGCCAGCTGTTTTGAAGGAAATATCAAGTAAATATTTCTCAATTTAGAATCGACCCTACTGTGAACTTGTGCCACTGGATGGTATTAGTTAGATAAAAGTTCAGACACAGCTGAACTTCTGTCCTTTTCTATTTTCTATATTACAATGGTTTGAGTGAATAAAAGAATGAGACATATGTTCTGCTCTTTGTCTTTTCAATTTACCTAGTAGCGCCTGATTGTCAGATACTTTTAAAGAGGTACAGTATTAACACATGTATTACACTTCCAGTCAAGATTTCATTATTACAGCATTGGAGAACATGTTGTACAGGGTGAACAACTAAGAACGGCCGTCGGCCATATCTCAGCAACGAATAATGATACAAGTTTGAGATAAAATAAATCTAATGGTATGCATATCATTACACGATGTAATAGAGAAACTTGATCTCAACAGACCAACGGAAACCTGAACATGATAGCTGTTCGCCAACGGAAGATATCAACTATCGAAGTTGGAAGAATGATAGATATGACAGCCGTTCTTAGTTGTTCACCGGGTACCCACTTGTTTACATATTTATTTATTTTGCTCTAGTTTAATAAAGTTTAAGGAAGTTTTTCAACCTTGATTATCATTATTGGGGAACATTTTATATGGGAAGGGAGGGAGCTCATTATACAAAGTGACACCCTTGACAAATATTCAGTGTTGACCAGAGGTTGTAGAGAACCTCATTTACTCCAAATCATTGTTATGTCTTGTATTATGGTGATTAATATCATTTCTCCTGATAAAAGTTAGGATAGACAGCTTCTTAGAATTAATTGTTATATACCGGGTGTCCCAACAGTGCGTATTTGCTCGATATCTCGATAATGCTGTAATATATAAAAGTGAGTTTCGTATAAAAGTTTTATGACACCACAAAGGCCACATTTTAAAAATAGTCCCTGATTCACAGGGTGTTGCATTTTTCCGTAATAACAAAAAATATGTATTTTTCAAATAGAACCACCCGTTTATTTTCATGTACTTAAAATGGTCCCTTCGTTGCCCACTCAGCACCAAATTTTTTTTTCGCCCCAATGCACCGTTGCCAAGTTATTAATTTTTTCGAAAAAATCGGGAGTGATGCAGGCTCTGAATGAAATAACTGTGATTGAGCTATTCCTTCGAAGATCTGAATTCCGCCTGGTGGATTGACGTAAAGAATACCAAAGTAGCGTGTAATACTCTGAGCTTCATTGATATTCATACAGGGTGCTTCAACTATTCCTTTCATTTTCGTCCACTACGATTCAAGTTTATGCGATTTTTTCAAATGGGACACCCTGTATATAAGTTCGTCTTCT